TACTGTTCCATTCGGTCCCACAAACAAACAACAGTCATAACATAATCCATCATTATTGATCTTACAATAGAGAATAAGCTGCTTGTCATATTCGTCTTCTGATTGACGTGGCTTGTGACTCAATCAGTATTCGCGATACCCTGGCAATTATTTATGGTCACTGAAACATTGGTCAACAGGAGATCGTTATGTGATTGTTTAAAATGAAGGTGACTAGTCCCCTAGGGAGTACAGGCTAATAAGTAAACAATCGGATTCCGTAACACAGCTTACCCACTCATCGTGAAAAAACAACCAAATCACACAAACCTCAATACAGTTCATTTCTCTATTCTATTTGAAGCTAAAACAGTAGGTAATCAAGATTCTGCTAAAAATAATCAATCACAATTCAATTATTCACCTTCACTATTGTTGTGCAATTTTCAATTAGGACTAAGTAGTAGTTGTCCAATGTCTGTTTGATAGGCTGAGTGATGCAAATATATTGTGCCTGTGCTCAGCTCATATGTTATCTGAAAATCAACAGTGACTGTGAAATTAGCAACAGTGAACACTTCTGACAGAAGTTGTTCATATAGCTGATCAAGGTCTCCGAGAGCATGTCGTTACCTGAATCAAAGGGAAAAATCATATAAATAGTTAAGACTCGTATGCATCATTATCCGGTTTAGTAATTGATCTTTTGCATAGTGTTTGTTTGACATAACTCCTCCACCTGGAACCCTTCTAGGGTTTCTGTCGATCCCAAGTCCGGATAAAGAAGGATGGTTGTGTATGCAGTTAGCAACTCCATACTCCATGTAGAAGAGAACCTTGCTAAAAAACACTCATCAAAATAATTACTTAAACTGTTTAAACTTTTCAGCCTTCAGTCTCCAGTTGCAAGGTTAGGATATCGACCAATCTATATTAATCCTTACTATTTGTAGAAAGTTACAGTTGACAAGGAGATAGTTGGTGCTCGTAGATGAGTGCGCTAGTTGTGTTGTATGTGAGTTGTATGAAATTAGGTATTTGATCGAATGGTCAAGAGAATTTTCTTCTATCAAATTCTCTGCCTACTGAATTAGAGATATTTCAGTAGTGCATGAAGTGCATGTAGTAGTGATGAAGACGAACTGGTGAATCATGATCGTATGCCTCAATATTGTTTGTTTAGATATGTATGTGCAGATATTCAGATTGGATTTGTGTCTGTCAGTGGTATGATGGATGTAAGAAGCGGGTTTGTGTATGTTTGTGTTGTCGATAGCAAATGGTGATATTGTGTTATGGTGTTGTGTATTTTGGTGGTTTGTGATGTGGTTGAGCATTGTTGGGTTATGGTTAGTGATTCTTCTGGTAACAGAAGGTTCATTAACAGTATGATGATAGGCATATCGTGTTGCTTGCACGACAGGTGAGGCCAAGTGGACTAGCCTGAGCCATCTGAAACCCCACGTTGTGTTTTTGTTATATTAAAATAGGAGAGGAAATAGAGTCGTTAATTCTCTTTGTTCATTCTGATATTTCTGTTCTTTCTGTTCTTTCTGTTCCTTCTGTTCTTTCTGATTCTTCTCAAATACACTACTTACGATTGTACCTCGCATGAAATGGCATGGCATGGCATGGCATGCATATTAGTCCGTGTAATCTGGTCGGTTAAATTCATAATCTTATCCGTCTTTTCACCTCATCATCGAGCATAATAGACCAAACACACAACCTACTCACCTCACTTACTTTACTAAATCATCTTACTATTAGCAACAAACTACATACATGTCAACTAATCTGCTACGAAATGACACAGCAATTAATAACAGGCATCCGTTCCCTTCTATAATCTACCATTCCGTACTGTTCCATTCGGTCCCACAAACAAACAACAGTCATAACATAATCCATCATTATTGATCTTACAATAGAGAATAAGCTGCTTGTCATATTCGTCTTCTGATTGACGTGGCTTGTGACTCAATCAGTATTCGCGATACCCTGGCAATTATTTATGGTCACTGAAACATTGGTCAACAGGAGATCGTTATGTGATTGTTTAAAATGAAGGTGACTAGTCCCCTAGGGAGTACAGGCTAATAAGTAAACAATCGGATTCCGTAACACAGCTTACCCACTCATCGTGAAAAAACAACCAAATCACACAAACCTCAATACAGTTCATTTCTCTATTCTATTTGAAGCTAAAACAGTAGGTAATCAAGATTCTGCTAAAAATAATCAATCACAATTCAATTATTCACCTTCACTATTGTTGTGCAATTTTCAATTAGGACTAAGTAGTAGTTGTCCAATGTCTGTTTGATAGGCTGAGTGATGCAAATATATTGTGCCTGTGCTCAGCTCATATGTTATCTGAAAATCAACAGTGACTGTGAAATTAGCAACAGTGAACACTTCTGACAGAAGTTGTTCATATAGCTGATCAAGGTCTCCGAGAGCATGTCGTTACCTGAATCAAAGGGAAAAATCATATAAATAGTTAAGACTCGTATGCATCATTATCCGGTTTAGTAATTGATCTTTTGCATAGTGTTTGTTTGACATAACTCCTCCACCTGGAACCCTTCTAGGGTTTCTGTCGATCCCAAGTCCGGATAAAGAAGGATGGTTGTGTATGCAGTTAGCAACTCCATACTCCATGTAGAAGAGAACCTTGCTAAAAAACACTCATCAAAATAATTACTTAAACTGTTTAAACTTTTCAGCCTTCAGTCTCCAGTTGCAAGGTTAGGATATCGACCAATCTATATTAATCCTTACTATTTGTAGAAAGTTACAGTTGACAAGGAGATAGTTGGTGCTCGTAGATGAGTGCGCTAGTTGTGTTGTATGTGAGTTGTATGAAATTAGGTATTTGATCGAATGGTCAAGAGAATTTTCTTCTATCAAATTCTCTGCCTACTGAATTAGAGATATTTCAGTAGTGCATGAAGTGCATGTAGTAGTGATGAAGACGAACTGGTGAATCATGATCGTATGCCTCAATATTGTTTGTTTAGATATGTATGTGCAGATATTCAGATTGGATTTGTGTCTGTCAGTGGTATGATGGATGTAAGAAGCGGGTTTGTGTATGTTTGTGTTGTCGATAGCAAATGGTGATATTGTGTTATGGTGTTGTGTATTTTGGTGGTTTGTGATGTGGTTGAGCATTGTTGGGTTATGGTTAGTGATTCTTCTGGTAACAGAAGGTTCATTAACAGTATGATGATAGGCATATCGTGTTGCTTGCACGACAGGTGAGGCCAAGTGGACTAGCCTGAGCCATCTGAAACCCCACGTTGTGTTTTTGTTATATTAAAATAGGAGAGGAAATAGAGTCGTTAATTCTCTTTGTTCATTCTGATATTTCTGTTCTTTCTGTTCTTTCTGTTCCTTCTGTTCTTTCTGATTCTTCTCAAATACACTACTTACGATTGTACCTCGCATGAAATGGCATGGCATGGCATGGCATGCATATTAGTCCGTGTAATCTGGTCGGTTAAATTCATAATCTTATCCGTCTTTTCACCTCATCATCGAGCATAATAGACCAAACACACAACCTACTCACCTCACTTACTTTACTAAATCATCTTACTATTAGCAACAAACTACATACATGTCAACTAATCTGCTACGAAATGACACAGCAATTAATAACAGGCATCCGTTCCCTTCTATAATCTACCATTCCGTACTGTTCCATTCGGTCCCACAAACAAACAACAGTCATAACATAATCCATCATTATTGATCTTACAATAGAGAATAAGCTGCTTGTCATATTCGTCTTCTGATTGACGTGGCTTGTGACTCAATCAGTATTCGCGATACCCTGGCAATTATTTATGGTCACTGAAACATTGGTCAACAGGAGATCGTTATGTGATTGTTTAAAATGAAGGTGACTAGTCCCCTAGGGAGTACAGGCTAATAAGTAAACAATCGGATTCCGTAACACAGCTTACCCACTCATCGTGAAAAAACAACCAAATCACACAAACCTCAATACAGTTCATTTCTCTATTCTATTTGAAGCTAAAACAGTAGGTAATCAAGATTCTGCTAAAAATAATCAATCACAATTCAATTATTCACCTTCACTATTGTTGTGCAATTTTCAATTAGGACTAAGTAGTAGTTGTCCAATGTCTGTTTGATAGGCTGAGTGATGCAAATATATTGTGCCTGTGCTCAGCTCATATGTTATCTGAAAATCAACAGTGACTGTGAAATTAGCAACAGTGAACACTTCTGACAGAAGTTGTTCATATAGCTGATCAAGGTCTCCGAGAGCATGTCGTTACCTGAATCAAAGGGAAAAATCATATAAATAGTTAAGACTCGTATGCATCATTATCCGGTTTAGTAATTGATCTTTTGCATAGTGTTTGTTTGACATAACTCCTCCACCTGGAACCCTTCTAGGGTTTCTGTCGATCCCAAGTCCGGATAAAGAAGGATGGTTGTGTATGCAGTTAGCAACTCCATACTCCATGTAGAAGAGAACCTTGCTAAAAAACACTCATCAAACTAATTTTTTGTCTCTTCATATGTCATTTTTTGTTTCTTATTTCCGATTTTTCTCATCGTTTTTTTTCAACATGTTTTTCTTCTATTTATTTTGGTTGGTTTCTCTTTGCCCATTACTCTTACTTCATGTTGTGTTTCAACTCTCAATATCCCTTGAGGTGATACAAATTGTGAACTGGAATTTAAATATTTCTTCCTCATTCCAATACACAAATAATTCAATAACGTTTAATATTACCGATGAATCTATACTATTAACTTTCATGTCTTATTAAATCTAATAATTACAGAATATTGAGATAAATAAAACTGATTATGAGAATATCGGTCAAATTGACGATGACAATTATGTTGATTACTGTAAACATAACATTTTACAGACATGTTCCATATCAGCACAATATTTATTATATATATATATATATATATATATATATATATATATATATATATATATATATATATATGGACATTTAAACGAATGAAATACCCTCTCGGGTTAAACTAATAAAAAAATATCACTAAATGGTCCATTCTATTGATCGACACTTTGATTTTAATGATACATAAATATATCATTCGTGTGAAGTTTTATCAATAATCAATAATTGTCTATATCTTTCATTTTGATCACTTAACAACTAATGAGATAATGATGGGACTATTCATGAATTTATTGATTACATTAAATAACATTATTCCTATCCATATAATATCATGGAGATTAACAATATATCAAAAATTAATAATACTTCTATTGTTCATAACAATTTTATGCATGAATAATACAAATGAATTACATTTATCTACAAATAATACACTTGGAAGTTATTATAAGAAACCAATGTTACAGAAAGTTAATTCTCGTATGAATAATTACGGTAAGATTATAATCATACAAATCATGATAATCACAATAATAATATTGTAAATGTCACACCTATTAAACACCTTGATGATTGTCTGAACTCAATAGTTGATTAGATAATGTGTTGGATATCTGAAATGAAAGATACTCGATTCGAATCTTAGTATGAGCAACGACACCGAGATGAAGGTATATCCTACTGATAAGTTTTAAATAAGACAAAACGCGTTCTCTCGATGTTACAGTCAGTCAGTCAGTCAGTCAGTCAATCATTTACAACATGGGACTATGTGCATAAATGCATCGGTCCAAGTTGCCACACCTCGCTGGAACAACAATATCAATGCCAAATTCATGGGAGTAGTTAATTCAGTGGTAGTAATATATAAAAAAATTGCATATAACGATACGATACAGCGAAAAAGCTTTACGTCAGATGGGTTTTCTGGATATTACAGTAATTTCAATGGTTAAGGTCATGAGTCAGTTGAAGCTAGACCACCATGGAAAACCTGGAAAACCTGGAAGCACTGGACGACCGTTTCGTCCTATTGTGGTTAAGTGCTCACACGCGAAACCAGTACGTCCTGGGTTCGAATCTTGCAGGGGGCGAGGTCGTGAATGTGCACCGCTGAGGAGTCCCACAATAGGATGAAACGGCCGTCCAGTGCCTCCAGGTTTTCCATGGTGGTCTAGCTTCGACTGACTCATGATCTTAACCATTGAAAAAGATTTAGCTTGCAGAAAGATAGGTATAAAGCAGTTTTAATTTCACGGTTTAAAAGAAGACAAAGAGTGTATACACCAACGTCATTGTGGTCGATTCTGAGCCACGTCACCCACAGTCTCCAACCATTGGTTACGATAGTTGCGCGGACCCCAACCAATTAGTCTGCATCTACCGAAATGGCTAAGATCAGAAGTTAGTAACTTCAAGAACCGATGCCACGTTTTGGTTTGGCCGCTACTAGCTTTCTTCCATTCGTCACCAACACTAGTCAGCTTTGCGCGTCGTGGTAATCGGTGGTTGGGTATGAGTAATACGTGACCCAACCACTTCAACTGATTTACCATCATTCCCTAGTACCCTGAGTTAAACCTCACTATTGCTTACCCGGTGATCCCAGCAGATTCTGGCAATATTTCTAAGACATCTGTAATCAAATACTAGTAGCTTGTGAGTATCTTCTACTCTTAATGGCCATATTTCGCAGCCGTAAACTAAAACAGAACGAACTATCGCGCAGTATACTCGTGCTTCATTTGATAGACGAACATCTCGCCTTCGCCATAGGTGATGTAAGTTGGTAAAAGCCGAATGAGCCTTTTGAATTTGTGACGAAATTTCGTAAAACACCAACCCATTAGGGTTGATCAGACTTCCAAGATAAGTGAAGTTGTTGACGCTTTCGACTAATTTGCTCCCTTTCCATAGCTCATGTGTTGGCGTAGGCCAGTCCTGAAGCAATAATTTGCATTTAAAGGAGGAGAAGAGCATCCCCAACATTTTGAGTGCTGCCAAAAGACTGCATTTTATCAGCATCTCCGCCAAACAGGAATATGTCATCTGTGTATTCTAAGTCAAAAGGTGGACCTCATAGTAGGAGATCAATTTCCGAGAATTCAAACTACAAGTACGTTGTTTCCTGAAATAGGTCTACGATGAAATTAAACAAAAATGGAGATATTGGACGTCTTTGCTGGACATCACTTGAGGTTGCAAAATCAGTTTCCATCGACTGGCAGTGTTCGAGTAAAGAGTCCTCACAAGGTTTATGTATTTCTGAGGCACACCTTTCAATGACAGACACTACCACAGAACCTCTCGATCAACAGAGTCAAATGCTACTTTTAAGTCAAGAATGACCACCACTGCCGGACGCCGATAAGCATGCCTGTTTTCTAGGACGAATGGTGAATATACAGTCACGACCAGATCTGAAGCCAGCCTGATTTTCTCGTGTTTGCAGTTAACGAGTCTTAGTTAGGCGCCCGATAATTATTGAGGCTATATTTTAGATGCTTTATTAGTCAAACTAATCGCTCTATGGTTATCAGAGGATGATTTTGACCCCTCATTATATATTGGGACAATCAGTGATTGCAACCAGTCAGATGAGAATACGTCCAGTTCCCAGATTTTATCTAGAATATTAGTCAGCCTAATCTCTAAAACTGGACCATTATCCTTAAAGATCTCTGGAGCCAATCCATCTGGACTAGTTGCTCTTCCCTGTTTCAGAATAGCTATGGATTTTCTAACATCAATTAGGGTCGGGGAGCTACTTCAATGTTCCATTCAGGTTGTTTGGGATTAGTGGGTAGGGTAGCCATGTTAGACGATTTCTCTCCTTACGATTAAAATTAGTATTTGTTAAAAATAAACGATTTTCCGGGCAAAGTTGTAGCAGACGATCACAATTATCTGTTCGTTGAACCGAAATACCAAAACACCCGTCCAAATGTCTTTCTGTTTGGTTTAAGCCACCTAACTGGGTATTAAATTCATCTGCTGCGAGTATTATGTCTGAGTGTTTAGCTTTTTGAAGAAGCTCAGAAAACTTTCCGTAAAATTCATCTTTCACTTCATCCAGGCTAAAGTCAAAGGGAGCGTAGGCAGAAATAATGGAAAGGCAACGACAAGTGTTCCTATGCTCCCGAGTTCTTACGAAGCCATTTAGCCCTACAGCACATAGGTGACTGTTAACAGGGATCCATCTTAAAAGTGTTTGTTCGGTCCTCATACTTAGTTCTATGCCTACACCCACCAGTCCACGAGAATTTGCCGTCAATTCACTGGATAAACGGAGAGTATATCTCGTTGGCTCCCCGTTTTGGTTAGGTAAGGTCAAGTGAATGGCCACACTAGAACCCTGTATGCATGTTTCGGTGACACAGCATACATCACTGGTACGAGATCCTAGGATTTTAGCCAAGAAGGCCTACTAGCTGGTTTGGCATAAGGTACTTACGTTGGAAGCTCCAATGTATAGATTGAAGCGAGGGTTCAGTATATTTGGGACAATATTTCGCTCACTAGAATCGGTAGACATGTTGACACTTGATGAGGAAGTTTAGAGTTGATAGTTGAGGTAATCGAAATAATAGGAATTGAAGAAGTGAATTGGTTATAGATACAGTGGTCTTAAGAGTTGTTAGAGTGACGAAATAAGTCACAATTATTTATATTAACTGCAGAGTTCGTAAGTTAATTCGATACATATAATTCTCAATTTTTTTAAATATATTGAGTAAAATTATATGATTCAAGTATCCTTTGATACGATAAAGTTGCATGAAATGTCTAATATTGAGTAATTAAATCTCATACCTGATATTATATCATAATAAAGCCGATTAACAACTATGAAGAAATGTATTCAGCCTTATAAATTATGATTTACATTTGGTAGCTTTGAACCTTAAACTGTTATCACTGGGTTGTTGACTTAAATAACCGAACTAGTGGTGATTGGTTTACTGTCCTTTAAACCATAACCGGATAAGCTTTTACTGGAAATAAAGTCATTAGCCAACGATAAGGTTATAGTAGAGAGACGAGTTTAAATCAAATTTGACCTATTGCGGCTACTTGTTAATCAGTCAGAAAACAGCCTTCGTACATGAATAGTTTGTAAAGAATAATAGCTAAGTTAATAACGCGATGGCGTTTGAAGCGAACAGTACTAGGTTTGAGTTCGGGAGTGAACATCAACTCTGGGATGCAGGCACATCCAGCTGACGAGTCCCAAATAGGACGAAACGCGCGTCCTGGATTCCATTGTTAACTACTATCCATCTCTACGAATACTCTTTGTAGAAGTTCAGAACATATTAGAGCGAACAACCGTTTTCAATAACTTCGTCATCATTTTCTAAAGTTATAAGTCTATGACTAGTGTATTGCGTTACTAAGGTCAAAATAAGTCATGTATGTGTGATCTAGACATTGTGATAAGTAAAAAATGATGAACTTATCCATCGACTTCTGCATAAATGCTTCACAATTGTGTCATTTATAAATCAGAAAGATCATCTACAAAGGGTCAGAATGATTCGTTGTAAGGTGTCAAATGATACGAACCATGTGAATAAAATGCAGATTGGACAAATTTTGTCTGGTTTACGGGGATAATAATAATCATGTTAGCAATGATAATAATAATTATAATTATGGTGATAATAATGATAATAATAAAGTCTTGTTAGTTTAATGTGTAATATGAGATATGTTGCCACGATAAGTGTGATAAGACGTTTATGCAAATTGTAAACGATGAGTGTATAAAGTAAGAATGGGAGAGAGCAGATATAAGTATAAAGGAAACTGGCGAGGGTTAGTGGTTTGCAATGTCTACTTCAGGTATATGGTGGTTCAACTGTGGACCAAGATAAACGCAGAGGATGAACATACCTCTTTGGAGGTATCATTACCATGGTTTGATTTGATAATTTCGAATAAATTGAGCATTGGACAGATTGTTATAAATAAATAATATATTTGTAATATCCCAGTGAGTAGGAAAATTAGATTTCCTGACGTTTCGTGACTTAGTGTAAGCCACTTCTTCAGAGAATAAATAACCAAATTAAAATTAATCAAAGTTTAAATAGTACAACGGAACAATAAGAATAATGTATATATGTATATATATATATACCTCTTTTGGATACATAAGCTTAGTCTTCACAAGTCGCTCCCTATGACTTCAGCTACATAGTTGTAATCTTTCGCTTTTCGTTAGATAGCTTGGAACATGATATAAAACAGAGAAAACTTAATCTATTTTAGTATAACGTTCGCTGCACTCTAATTGAGAATGGATGGGGCTTTAAATAGATTTCATAACTTTGTTTCCCAACCGCGCTGGTAAATATTTACAAGCGGTCAAAATAAAACGTTCTGAGTATTGTATATGTAAATGACTTCACAGAAACAGTTAAAGTGATTTACACCCATGGAGGAACTCGTCATCAACAGTCCATCCTTGATTTATCGTATAAGTACTCATTTAGTTGAGAGGATAGTATCGAGTTGGCAGCGTTAAATTTCCTTCCAATAGGTCTTTATAATTGATTTATTTTACAAACAATTCCCACCTACTTATGAAGTTATTAGAAGAAATTTAAAAACAATCTTCATCAGATATTCATTTCAATCAAATATGGTTGCCATGTTTTTTAGGTGAACAAAATTATTGGATTGAAACATTGGTATTTGCTGATCATACAGTAATGAATCGTTTCTCGAATAAAACAATAGCAGAAAATTATGTGAAAACATTAATGAGAATGGTTCGTCATGATGTATTTAATTTGTAGCTTAATTTTATAGTTTCTAAGTCATTAGCTTAAATCATTTTAATCATTGTGTTATAACTTTTGAAATATTCCGATTCAAAGAGAGGGTAGTAGGAAACTGGTTCAATACAAACTTTGATCCAACTTGATTATGTAGATTGACAATGAACAAATAACGACACTTCAGCAATTATAATACCATATCAGGAAGAAGGGTGAAAAGGAGACTGTGAGGACACATCACCCTACCATACATACAAGGAATATCTGAAACTGCAACGAGACTGCTGAAAACCTTCGGGATAGGTGTGGCACACAAACCGACAAAATCACTACAATCAATCCTATGCAAACCAAAGGATGAAATAACAAAGGAAAATAAATCAAACATCATCTACAAAATAAATTGTGCCAACTGAGAAAAACGCTACATCGGACAAAGCGAACGCCCCCTCCACCTTCGCCTACACGAACATCAATTAGCAGTCAAACGCCATGATATCTCCTCACCTATATCAATACACGTAGACAACTGCGGACACTCATTCGATTGGAAAAATGGGGAAATCTTAGATAGAGGAAACTCCAAAAACACCAGAGAATTTTTAGAAGCCTGGCACTCAGGTCAATCAGCAATCAACAAGCGTATTGAAATCAATCCAATTTATCAACCAATCAGGAAAATTATGCACAAATATAGGAACAAAAATCAAACCAATGGGAGACAACCAAAACAAAGAAGTAAACAATGATGAATTTAAGGTCAATAAGAACCAATCAACATCGAGATGTACAGAACAAGCTGTGAAGCGCAGATGGAGAAATTCGAACACTTCACTTCTATCTGAAGATTGTACTGATGATGTCGTTCAGAAGAACGATGAAAGCTCCACGACCAAACCATCCAGCTCAGAGAACAAAACTCCACCAAAATCATCCACCTGACCTACAAAGCTCCTCCACCATCTCAACACTTTTCTGTATTAAGTTAAATCGATTAAATAAGCATATAAACACTTGATGTATATTGTCACATTTCAATGGTCAGTGAAGTGTGAAATGTCATAATAATACTTGTTATTTCGGCAACACTAACAGGCCATAATATGTCTAATGATGTTTAACCCTAATAAATTGTAAGAATCTATGTATAATTAGGATGTCAATGATCTAATTATCTTTCCTTTTTCATATCCTCGAATAATGTGCATTCTCCGTGTACCGATAATAATTGAATATCTAGTCTTAACGTCTCCTAGATAATATGAAAACTCTTCATTTCAACAAGTTTCAATCTAATGGGTGGTACTTTTTAAATATACACGGTAGTCATCATCCATTATAACTGTTTGACTTCAGAGATTATTGCTCCACACAAAGATGTTAAGATTATCAATCATATTAAAACTGAGGGATTATTGATGACTTGAATTAGCAACCAACAGAGCTATTCAACGTGTTATAAAATATATAAGTCTCCGTGTATTTCTATATCTGTTGAGTGACTGGAGGTAGTCGATATATAACTCACGATATCGGTTTTATGCTGGCTGTCACTTTCAAACATAATGTAACTGTAATATTAAGGGAAATGATACTCTCGGTAGAATATGAGCCAATATCACTTAGCTTCAGAGTCCGGAGCGTCACCACTAAGCCATTTGAACAGCGGTTGACCTCTTGTGTGACTGAGATTCTTGCAGTCGATTGATCTTCGGTCTCGTGTGCGAACACCCAGCCTTTAGACCACTGGAACAACATCCGACGGTGTTAATGTCTCACTTCAACCAACCCACGAAATTGCGCAGCCATGTTCCATTGTCTTCGGTAGGTAACTGCCATACATTCGACATAGTTTAACTCCACTGGCCTAAGCTGCTGAGGAGTCCCATACTAGAACGAAACAGCCATCCAGTGCTTTCAGGTTTCCACTGGTCGATTCATGAGTTTAATTAAAAATTTCACAATCTCCACAACTCCATACTGATAAGTAGAATTCCTTTCACCTTTAAAACAATAAAATGATGGATAAGCATTTACGAAGTGCACGAACACGAATAAAATCATACACAGTTTGTATAAGTGTTTCTCCTAATTTGTAAGTCCCTAAATAATATATAAGAGACACTTATATATTCATCTCAGGTAAGTATATGTATATGTAACAAACTGTAATTTAATACGTTATTCTGTAAGATTGCTTAACTTGAATTGAATGTATTGAAAATGAAATTTTCTTCACTAGATTATTATACTACTGTATATAACATATGGAAACTAGAAGACAGTAGATTAAAAACATTGTATGGTATAATATCTAGGCTAAAGTGATCCTCCACGTTTCCAATGTTCAATTCCAATGTTAAATACAACACTATGGCTAATTCCTGTTCATTTAGTGAATCACTCATATACGAGATTTTATGACAAGACTTAATTTTTACCATACTTTCGGTTTTCATCTGCCTTGTCGAGATTCACTACCCTGACGTGCTCACAAAAGTCAGCTGCAGATAACTCTAAATGTTTAAACTAAATTCTTCAATAACAGTCACACTTCACTATGCAGTATTTGTACGCGAAATGGGTAGGAAAGATTCCCACGAGTTCTGAATACTGAACGTATCTTGAGTATTGGAAACGTGGAGGATAACTTCAGCCATCGATGACTGAACAATTAACAAGTGACCTACTTTACTTTTGTGTTTTGTTCTATTTTTTTTAGACTGATGAATTATTTCATCATCCATCTTTAGGTGTGAATATGAGTTTAGTTGTACAAGATATAATATGGGTTAGTGAAGCTGAAGTAAGTTGATCGTTCTTCTTTTAGTAAATAAAGATTTATTAATATTGAACGAACGAATAAATTCAAGAGAAAAAACTGTAGGCAAATCATTAGAGAAAAGTTTTTTTTCTATAGTAAACTTCTCTGAAACTATACCACTGTATTTATAGTTGACTAACAGAAATATTAGTCTACTGAAAAATGCTGTAAACTGGGTCTGACTAAATCAGCTGATACACTAATATTCAAATTCCAGCAACTCATTTCGAACTAGACATTCATAATATGGCAACGTACAGAAACACGACCATAGAGTCGAAAGACAGGTGAAATGGAAGTTGACAACAAAAAACATTTCATTTTGTATGTGACACAACCGCATTTCTCTCTACACTTGCTAGACAATCACGGATTAGCTTAACGAGCTTAATGTATACAGATAAAATTACATGTTCGTGAATCCCAAGTAACACGGAGAAGTTGTGCAACGGTTTAAAGTTTGAAGAAAAACAACAAGATGGAAATAGTTTAAGGAACAGAAATACAACAGATAATTGATACAAAGACGAATACAAAGGAAGAATGAAAAAATGTAGATATCATAATAATATCTAAAAAAAAATAAGGGAAAAATTGGAAGACGGTAATAACAACTGATGATTGATAAAAAAAATTAGACGGAACTGCGAAAGGTTATGTGATAATCAATACACCAACAAATAATATGTTTAACTGAAAAACCTAGGGATATGAAAATAGGAGTAGATAAAAGCACATGGATGATAATAACTGCGATGTAGGAAGTGTTGCTGACTTTAGTGAGAAGAGTTGATTTGGAACCTCTAGCATAATAATAATAATAATAATAATAATAATAATAATAATAATAATAATAATAATAATAATAATAATAATAATAATAATAATAGATATAAAGCACAAACCCATCAACAACATGAACGGAAATACACATGGGTTTCGGTCAGTTAAGTGATCTGATGAAAGTATGGAAGTGGTGGCAACGAGATTGTTGATGCTCTTAGATGAGTGCGCTAGTTGAGTTGTATGTGAGTTGTATGAAATTAGGTATTTGATCGAATGGTCAAGAGAATTTTCTTCAATCAAATTCTCTGCCTACTGAATTAGAGATATTTCAGTAGTGCATGAAGTGCATGTAGTAGTGATGAAGACGAACTGGTGAATCATGATCGTATGCCTCAATATTGTTTGTTTAGATATGTATGTGCAGATATTCAGATTGGATTTGTGTCTGTCAGTGGTATGATGGATGTAAGAAGCGGGTTTGTGTATGTTTGTGTTGTCGATAGCAAATGGTGATATTGTGTTATGGTGTTGTGTATTTTGGTGGTTTGTGATGTGGTTGAGCATTGTTGGGTTATGGTTAGTGATTCTTCTGGTAACAGAAGGTTCATTAACAGTATGATGATAGGCATATCGTGTTGCTTGCACGACAGGTGAGGCCAAGTGGACTAGCCTGAGCCATCTGAAACCCCACGTTGTGTTTTTGTTATATTAAAATAGGAGAGGAAATAGAGTCGTTAATTCTCTTTGTTCATTCTGATATTTCTGTTCTTTCTGTTCCTTCTGTTCTTTCTGATTCTTCTCAAATACACTACTTACGATTGTACCTCGCATGGCATGGCATGGCATGCATATTAGTCCGTGTATTCTGGTCGGTTAAATTCATAATCTTATCCGTCTTTTCACCTCATCATCGAGCATAATAGACCAAACACACAACCTACTCACCTCACTTACTTTACTAAATCATCTTACTATTAGGCACAAACCACATAAATGTCTACTAGAATTAGCTTATAGTGACCACCTATAGATCAATGTAACCAGTGAGTTTAGGTCATCCCACAATAGTATCTCATCTAATATCAAATTAAATTGTTTCCAAATCTTTAAAGATTGTAACAGATTACTTTGTTACAGTTAATGAATCATTTACATAAAACAAGAAAAGAGGACAAAAAATTATACTCTGGGGGTCCCCACTTCTTATAGATAAAGTGCCGTATACCCGTACCCACTGTCTCCTATTACTGAGAAACTCACATTCCCAGTTCCTGGTTTCATTATAGATTATAAAACTACCCAGTTTCAATTTAAGTCCCAGATAACAGACCTTGTCAAAGGCCTTATTCAGATGTTTGAAAATCTCATCTACCGGAATCATCATATCTTTCGCTCTAGTTCAACCATCACTTCCAATAAGAAATGTTGTCAAATATGAAACGCCTTTCCTAAACCATGCTGCTCCCTGATTAGAGGATTACTCTCTTTCACACAGTTTAAAATAGCCATCCGAATAATCTTTTCCATTAGTTTGACGACTATACTAGTCAGCAGTTACTATGTCTCTACTCACAGACGTTACTGATAACTGCATCCCTGAAGTCTCTTGACAGCTTAGATTGCCTAAAAGACACATCACGCATGATTGCCAGATATTCGGCAATTATATCCTCCAGCGCTTTCAAAATCCTAGAATGAATATCGTCAGGATCACTAGATTCATATGCCTTAAGATGTTGGAGTAATCGTAAGACAGTTCCTTTCTCAATAACCACAGGATTCATCACAAGCTGCCATTAGTATAATCAATCTTTGGTTTTTTCACCATCGTCGGCAGGGAACACTTTACTGATAAAGCTTCAGCTATTTTAACATCATTTCTTGCTAATATCAATGAACCTTCTCTGACCAAACGAAGCGGGATCCCATCACTTCTCTGAGATCGCCTCTTCGTATACGATAACAACCTTTTCAAACTGCTCTCACAATCCCTAAGCAAATTTATTTCAAATGGAAATCTAGCCCTACTTATCAACGCTTTGCATGCGTTCTTAGTCCTACAATAAGTGTATATGTACTGCTCAGAATCTGCAGAGATAGACATATTTCAATGCGTTTTCCTAAGACTAAACGGTTCTTTGACCTCTTTAGTTATTCGTTGTAGACAGTTATTAGGCCTACGTGGTACTGAGCAGATTTTGGGAATGCTCGATCCCCAGAAATCACTTGATAAATGTCTTATTTCTGTAATTTTTTTGGAAAATTTGTATTTCCTGTTTTTGGACCAAAAGTGCTCATTCTTAATTTCAGACTGTACTTCCCACTTGAAAGGACCCTAAATATCATTGGTTGGTTGCCTCTTTTAGTATGCTATTTTGTGACGTTTCCCAAGGACACTTTTATGCTGTATATATACTCTTGACTTTTGCGCTTGTTGTTGTTCGTGTTTCCGGCTGCTTACAGAATATACCTTTCCCTCATCTGAACCAGATCTCTCTCTAGTTAGCGAGGTTGAGACGCATCACTAAGCAATTCAGAAGATTCAAGGAAGACGTGAGAACAAGAGAGGAGCTGACATAACTTCAGATCACCACATGATGGTTGCCAAGAAGAAACTGAAGTTAAAGAAGCAATGGACAACTGGACAAATAGCATTAAAAAGATTCAACACAGCCTACCCTCCAGATACTGACAAACTCAATGAATTCAAGACAGCTGGCAGTCAACAACAAGTTTCAAGCCTTACAAGATCTACTCGAAGAAGAAACCACTATGGAGAGCACCTGGAAGAGAATCAATGAAGCACTAACTTCAATGTGTCAGGAGATTTTGGACCGCAATGAGCATCATCATAAGGAATGGATCTCCATCAAAACCCTGAACAAGTATCAGGAAAGCAAGAACAAAAAGATGGCGATTAACAACAGCCTAACAAGAATAGAGAAAGTCAAGGCACATACTGAATGCACAAGAAGTGAACAAGCAAGTGAAGAAGAACATTAGAACCAACAAGCAGAAATACGTGAAAGATCTAGCAGAGACAGCGGAAAAAGCCGCAACAGAAGGAAATATGAAACAATTATGTGACATAACAAAGAAAGTGATAGGGAAATGTAGTAAACCAGAGCTACCAGTCAAAAACAAAGAAAGTAAGCCAATCACTGAGATTGAAGAACGTTGGAATATGTGGGTAAAACATACTGAAGAACTATTGAATGGACAAGCCACACTGAACCCACTGGACATCGAAGCAGCACACATAGACCATCATCTAGATGTTGTTGCTTAAAGATTAAAAGAGATTAGCATCACTATCAGACAAATCAAGAATGAGAAAGCAGGAGGATCTGAAAACGCAATAGCTGAAGCACTGAAGTCAGACATAACAGTAACTGGAATGATCCTGCATGTTCTGTTTAAAGGATTTGGGAGGAGGAACAAGTTTTGACAGACTGGAGAGATGGATACTTCATCAATATACCGAAGAAAGATCCAAGCAGATATGAGAACTGCAGAGGGATCACACTACTTTCGGTACCAGGAAAGGTTGTCAACTGAGTGTTGTCGAACCGATTGGAAGATTCAGTAGACGTCCAACTTCGAAATCAAAAGGTCGGATTCCACGAGGACCGGTTGTGCACAGATAAAATCGTGACGCTACAGATTAATACTGAACAATTAAATGAATGGAACTCGTTACTATACAACAATATCCTTCAATCAGTGGTAGTGTATACGTGGAGAAGACTCTAAAGTCTTCTTGTGTAAGATCTACAAATATACTAACGTTTTTCTTATTGTATGAAATTCATTGTACAGCCTTGATGCAGCTAGACAATTTGAATGTCTTAAATGACCTAGCTCTTCTATCCTAGGCACACCAACAAATACAGGTGAAGACATTCAGTGTGGCAGCAGCCTCCACAGCACTAGTCCTCAATATATACAGTCAAAAAAGAAAGATCCTGATAATCAACGCTGAGAGCACCAATAAAATCACGCTTGATGAAGAAGCTCTGAAAGAAGTGGAAACTTTTACATATCTGAGATGCATCATTGATGAACGAGAGGGATTTGACGCAGGTCGGAAGGAACGGCTTGGAGAAGAATGTACAGCATTCCTACAGCTGAAAAACATATGCGACTCGAAACGACTGTCAACCAACATCAAAGTCAGAATCCTCAATACAAATGTCAAAACAGTTCTGTTGTATGGAACGGAGATTTGGAGAACTACTACAACCATCATCAGAGAGGTACAAGTAAGGGAAATTTGTAAACCACGTTGTAGGTGTATAGGATAAAGTCTGAGGACATCATCAAACTACATCACAAGGTAAATCCTAACTTTAAATCCTCAAGTCGAAAGAAGAAGAGAAAGACTAAATAACACAGTATTGCGAACTGATGGCAGACATCGAAAGCATTCGCAGCACTTGGAAACAACTATAAAGAGGAGTCCGGTAGAGGTGTGGTTGGATAATCCTGCTACACTAGGGGTAACAAACACAAGTACGTAGGTAAGTAAGTGTTCGATATATTGAAGGAAGCGAAATAAACCACAAAAAACAACATTTTTTCTCTTTTCTATAGTTCTCTCCATATCATTGGACTTACTTCAAATTCTTTCGCTGAGATTTTACAAATACATTCTTCCTCTTTAATGTCTCACATTAACTCGGCACCCAAATTTTGCGAAACTGTTTGTTCGTATTTAGACTAAAGTTCTTATTTAACATTGGTTCAGTGAAAACCATCTCTGGAGAGATGAAGCTGAGTTCTCATGAAACATCAAGTATATTTTATGCTTTACATGTAAGGTGTATGTTTGAATACGAATGAGTAAAATCTTATGAGTAGAATATTTATTATTCAGTTCTTATTTGAATGGAAAGAAGTATTTGCTAAACAGTGTTGCCGTGACTAAACAAAGAAAAGATATTCATAATTATAACTGTATCTTGCTGGTTAATAGTTTGCACATAAAACAAGGTTAAACAGATTCCAATGTGATTATTGAATTCTTTATTGGAAAATATAACATTGAAATCAGTTGAAAAACCACTTTAGACTGAAAATTTCGTATTCTTCCAATTTAAGCATCAATGGACATCCCCATCTTCACTTATAACAGTTTAGATTCTTCAAGTCACTAAACTAATTCATTAGTAAAGTGAAGGTTATAAGTTCAATCTTATAGAAGATCAAAGTGGATGTCGTTTGATTTGGTGTTTTATCGATTCACAAGCTAAGATAAATTAATAATTGAAATCATGAGTCAATTGAATCTAGGCCGCCATGGAAAACCTGGAAGTACTGAACGGCCGTGAGCTGATATCTCACAACAGACCTGGTTGAACTCCACTAGTAACGGCTTCTCACTAGAACGGCAGGAAATGCCTCTTGAAGTCAGTCATTAGTGAGCAGATGATTATTATCAGAATAAATTAAGAAGTTGAAAAAATTTATAAATTTCTTATGAGTTTTAAAATTTGGTTACATTGTATTCTGTCCGAAATTTTAGTCAAATGAACTTCTATGGGGAGCATCGCTAATTCGTTCTGTTCACAGATTTTGCAATTGGGCTTTAACTCATCATTATGTTCGTTATAACTATGATCATGCCTTGTTTTTATCAAGAAATATTGTACAAGCAGCTGGTATGTAAAGTAAACTCGTCATATTTTTGATTATGTGTATGATAATTTAATTGTAAATTGATTATTAGATGATGATGATGATGAGATGCATATTATATTAAATGTTAACATTGATTTGTTTCGGTGGCGTTTCGTTCTCTGAGCTGGATGGTTTAATGGTGGAGCTTTCATTGTTCTCTTGAACAACTTCGTCAGAATAAAGAGATAAAGTTGGATATTTGTATTTCTCCACGTATGACTAATGGTTTGTCTTGTCGATCTTGATCTTCATTGGTTATTGTTGACCTTTAATATGTCATTGTCTGCAAACCTTTTTAAAACTCCCTCTCCCTTTAACTTGATTCTTGTTCCACAATAGTGGAGATACATTGGACTGGAAAAATATTGAAATCTTGGATACAGGAAATATTAGAATCTTGGTACTCAGTTCAATCAGCAAATAGCAAATACATAGAAACCAATACAACCTATTAACCAATCAGAAAAATCATGAGCGAATACAGGACCATGAATCAGATTCGAACGTATGCTCTAATATGTTAAAATTATATTTTACATAATCTCAGAGATTGAGATTTAAACAATTCTAACGTTTCGTCCAACTAACTTATCTGGACTTCTTCAGGGTAACAATCAAAATCAAAATCATCAAAGAAATATATAGCTTTTCCAATAGTTAAGATCACGAGTCATTTGAAGCCAGACCACCATGGAAAACCTAGAAGCACTGGATGGTCGTTCCCTCCTATTGTAAAACTCCACAGCATTGCGCACCCACGACCTCGCACCCTGAGAGATCCGAACCCAGGACCCAATGGTTTCTCGCGCGAGCACTTAACCACTAGACCACTGAGCCGGCATCCAACGGTGTTAATGTCTAAAACTACACTGTGTTAAACCAATCACATTTGGATGTTGATTTTCGTGAAATAGGATAAAATGAGTCAGTTAACTACAAATCATGTGAAAAACTCAACTACATGGAAATAATTAACTGAAACAACAAATTGTATGTGTGTGAGTGTGTAGGTATGTATGTACGTATGTGTGAGATTAATTATTGATGTTCTGTGTTGATATGCGATATATGAAGGAATAAACAAATAAAAGTTCAAGTTCAAGGTTGAAACAATTTGTTAATGAATCATCGATGTACATGTCAAACAAATACACTGATGGATGCCGGCTCAGTGGTCTAGTTGGTTAAGCGGCCTGGCGCGAGACTGATAGGTCCTGAATACCTAGTTGTATTGCTAAAAACTCACTGAAATCAGTCAAAAATAACGATGCATCTGAAATAAACAGGTTGAAGAAAGAGAGGGTTCAAATTACTTGTCATAACGAAATTTGCCAGGTAGTCGCCAGTTGAATACCATCTTTTTGGTTCAGCGCTTCTACTGTCAATCTTTCTTTATAGGTGTTAAAACCTTTCTGAAGTATTTTGGTCCCTTCAAAATTAATCTTGTGTCTTGTTTCTAATGCATGTAACGCTATCGCAGACTTATTCTCAAATTTCTTCAAACCAACCGAGGATTTGGGAACATTTTTCAAACATTGTTTGTGTTCCTTCAATCTTACATTCCATTGTCTGGATGTTTCTCCACCATAGGCTGCATTATAATCATGACAGTTGACCTCATACACAATATTCTGTTGTTTTTCCTTTGGTAACCTGTCCTTAACTTTCACTAACGTCGATCTTAAGGTGTTACTCGCCCTAAAATACTCTTATATCATGTTTGTTTAGAATCCGCTTGATTTTTTTCCGATGTTTCACTACGGTATGGGATGACTACGGTATACTTTCACACTTTTGGTATACATTCTAGTGTAGTTTTTCTCTCCTTTTTAACAATCTTCTTTAGAAACCTTTTTGGGTAGTTGTTATCCCTAAGAGTAGAAAATACTTTGTTCACTTCAGTTCGTTGGTCTTCCTTATCTGTAACAAGCTTAGTACTTCTGTTCACTAGATTTTTTACTACATTAATTTTCGTGCTCTGTGAATGGGCTGAATTAAAATCCAAGTATCTCTCGGAATGTGTTGAGTTTCTGTAAACATTTACTTTTAACTTCTTATTATTGTGTCGACGTTCAACCAAACAATATGCTGTTGAAGTTGACAGATATAAGTAGTATGTAGCACCAATCGAAACTGGAATGCCTGACGGCAGAGGGTTGAGGAAGTCGAAGAGAAAAGAGTAATTGGTATGGAAACGAATGAACAATCAAGTCTGAGACAATTGATAGATATTCTGCAAATGAAGTATTACTGTATGATTCTCAGATTTTACCAAGATATTCTGTACTGTCGTAATAAAATACATTTGGTTGTCCCCATTTGTATTTTCGTTCACCACAAAAGTACTATTTCGTAGATAGAATTTATATCTAAATAGGGATCTGTTGAGGTACAAATCAGTCCAGTTGTTAAACCTAAACAGGATATTGTATAATATTTCACTATTAGATCATATATCATCAATTAATTATAAACTGTATTATTTGTTGATACTCTTATTTTCAATTAGGCATATCTCCACTAAGTCAAATGTGTCGTATGCAGTATTCCTGTACATTAGCAGAGGATAGTGGATTTTTTTCAGCTTATCCGATTGCACATGAAATTATGCACAGGTAATTTGAAGTGGAAAAAAAATACAATGCAATTATGATACATTTATTTTCATGAATTTGGTTTTAAAATTACTCCATTCCTATTACTGAAAGTCTTGAGTTCGATCCCCGATAGAGAGAATATGGATGCTCACTGATGATCAGTTCCGTGCTAATATGAAACTGATTTCTAGTACTTCCAGGTTTTTCAATGGCTGTCTAACTTAGGTCAATCTGTACTTTGAATGAAATTAAATAATATCCGAAACCTTCATGTTGATATAATTGTTTTATTGAATCTTGACTAAAGTGTAAGTCAGAATTTCTAACACACGTTTAAGAAAAACGTTATGTACAGTTCAAGAGGTTCAGTGAATGTTAGTGTTGCTAGTCATGCGTTGTAAGGTTGAAATTATTCTATAGGAAACCCAAGAACAAGGCTTCATGTTGGCCGGCACATCACTAAAGTGTACGTGTAATCTTGAGAAAGATAATGCTCCTGAAGGGATTTAGACAAATGTCGCCCAAATTCGCAGTCTGAGGCTATTTGAACCAAAACTGACCTCAAGTAGAACTGAGACTGTTGAGAAGTGATCAATACTATGTTTGTCTAGTGAACTAATTATTGATTGAATTTCTTTGATCAAGTTGGAATGTTGCCATTAGTCCAAGCAACTGCCGCAGGTCGCTCGCCGTTCGAATAGCCTAGTGACAACGTCTCAAACTTTGAAGCTGTATGATGTGGATTCTAGTCCCATAGAAAGCATTATTTTCCCTAAGATTACGGATTAACCTTAATGACCAGTACCAGCTAGTATAAAACCTATGTTCAGAGTTTCCTGTCGACCACTTACAACCGTTTAATATTTCAATTAGTTTACTAAATGTCATGTCGCTTAGAGTAGTAGCCACGTTGAAAATGGATGCACAAAATGAAATCATTACTTGAAAACTAGACAGTCAGGTTATATTTACGGCTGGGCGATAGACCAATTGTATTTTGTTTTGAACATCACTATTGACTCAATATGATCTTAATACAGTCTATCTTCATTTGATCACTTTTGGGTGAATATCATAATTGATTTACTATTTTCGATCTCACTCATAATTCATCCGTTTATTTTATCTTCCACGGCTGTTCAAATCCGATCAAGTATTGAAGATCATGATGTACCTTCGTCTACTATTGCTTTTAGTGGACTGTGACTAGACAGCATTTTATGCAAAATGCTCGAATAAGATATATTTGGACAAAATAATTCCTACAAGTATCTTCTAACTAGTCATGTAAATATTCCAGAAGTTTCGTGATGGATCGACTCGCCAAAATTGTTAACATTATAAATTTTCGAGTCTTCTGATAAGTACATGGGAACAGGCGAGAAGATTGCTTGGATTAACGATTTGTCTGGAAAATAGAACTAAAAAATCAGTCTAATGATGTAATTTTCCATTTAAGGCAAAACATTGAATTTTATTTATTTTAATTGTTGAGGTCATGAGTCAATGGAGACTGGATCACCATAGAAAACCTTGAAGGACTGGAGGGCTGTTTCGTCCTATTGTGGGACTCCTCAGCAGTTCATATCCACGATCCCGCCTAGCAAGATTCGAAAACATAACCTCAACCATTAAAAAAAATTACTATCATATCAACAAAACCCTTTCTGATTGCATTTTATCTTAAAAATTAAGAAAATAGATTGTTGAACGCTCAACTTATACAAGATATTTGTTTGTTGGAAATCACTTCTTTTAGTCTTGGTGTTGAACATGATGGTGAAGGAAATAGTTGTGATCGTTCAGGATCCACAGGAAATATAATGGCTCCATTAATTTTATCGGCAGGTCATAACCATCATTGGAGTGATTGTACACGATTAGTACTTCAAAATGGTCTTGAGTAAGCTTTTTTTCAAAATATAACACATTTTCCATTGAAATATTGTCGAGTTTCATTAATCAGAGAAATTTACTACAGAGAATGACAAATTTTCTTTTTGATAGCGAGGAGTATGTATCGACGGTTACTTATAATAGGGCGATAATATGATTAGAACATTCTATGGAAGATTTTTTTCATTACGGAAATGAACACACCACAAAGATATGTATGTTGTAGATCACCAACGTAGATGATCTATGTCGAAATGACTGGAGGCCTACTCGAGTTAAAATTGTTTGTCTGGTATTCCATAAGCATAAATTTTCCTTCAAGTTGTGTTGTAACGTGTGAGAGACTGCACGTTTTGATAAGCAGCGTTTTATTGACCGATCGATTACAGTGACACGGAAAACACGTATGGACGACCTAGTGCCCTGATTGGTCCCGCTTCGCAGTCTGTCCCAGCCAGTTGAGTCAGGAACGCAAGTCACAGCCTCTGAGTTATGAATCATTGTATTTCAGACATACTTTGTTTATATACCAATCAAGCACACCACATCGTACCATAAAATAGGAAACAACATTTACAAAATATTTAACAAGTGAAATAAACATCGACCAATAAGAAATGTACATTTAAGGTCCAAGGCCACCATAGACTTAACACGATAATTATTGGTATATTTTTCCGACTATCCTAACAAGTTGTATAACTATAGAATTATAAATAATCAAATCAAAGTATTCAGTGTCAAATTAATGTACAAGTGTAATAATATGACAATTTGACTCTCTAATCTTTCACTTTTCAATAGACTTATATTACTTGTCAATACATTATACGAAATGGCTTCATTGATGAAGTGTTTCGAAAAATAATTTTCGGAGTTCTATCCAGGAGCTATGACTAATCACGTTTAGATGCGTCAGGCGTCAGGCAATTACCCACCAGTTATATTAGATGGTGGTTACGTAATGCCACAAACGGATTAGAGACAGAAATATACACAATTGGATACTGACATATTAGTTTAAAAAATTATGCACTTTTCATAAGACTCAAAGTGCAGTCAATGGACGCGCACTGTTGAGAAGTCCCATACTATGACGAAATAGCTTTATACAGCTTCCTGGTTATCACTGACTATCTAAGGTCAGTTTTTAATCCAAACTGTGAAACTGGATAATATCCATTAACAACTTACTAATAAAGTTATATAAGTTTAGTTTCCGGTTACTAACACCTATGAACATGACTTTCTCACATTGTGGGAATTCAGTTAATCATATATATTGTTCATTTCTTTCCTCTTCACTTTAAGAACACAGAAATTTACTTGTCTTCAAGATTTTCCAATATTTAAACAGGAACATATGAATTTTGATTTGCCTGGCTGGCAATGGTCACTTGATCAACAATGTTTTGTTATATCTGGATCCAATATAAGTCAACATTGTCCTGGAGTAAGTTTTGTTGGAAGTGTCAAATGTAATAGTCGTATAAGTGTAAATATTTCGATGATATGCACAACAGGTTAATGATTACCTCAGGGTTATATATTTCTTTTTTAACCTACATATTGCGTTCTACTGTCCTATTCACTTACAATAAACACTTCTTAGGGTATGCAGAACCCACTGTATAAATAAAGACTGAAACGAATATGAAAGAAAAAACGTCTGACAGTAGGTGAATTAGGAACTGGAGTCGTCTTTCATAACTTCTACGCTGCAGTTAATAAGGTTTTACTCCAACGAACAATTATTTGTTTGGTATTATACTAACACAGTACTGTTTGTCGTGCTCCTTGTCAAAAAGAATACACTGGTTGAACTGACTTTCCAAAATTCACGGGTATTAACGAAATTGCTAAATTTAAGCATAAAGCTGAGAAATATCAACTCCAAGATATACACGATAACACGTTGCACGTTTAAAAACATTCAAAATTACTTTTCTACCAAGCCCTATATATCTATATGGATAAATGATACTCGCACTGAAATTCAATACACGATCCTAAATCTCATTGATTCGTCCATAAGTTATAGTCTTGCCATGAAACCATTTGTATTGGTTGTTTGAATCTTCTCGTTGAAGTTTAGAACCGCAATAGGACAAAATATGCATCCTGGATTCTATTATTAGCCCCCATTCATCTCTGCTTAAAATGCTTGTGACTTTATGGCAGTATCAACGCAATCTTCACAAAATGCCCATTTACGAAAAAGAGATTGATGAATCATAGTCCTAAATATTAATGGGAAGATTCAAACAACCGATACAAATGAATTATGTAAATCTCATCATATTTTCAAAAGCAGTACAAAACTCAAATAATAAAAACAACCCCTTGAATATATAGTATGATTGACAAATTAATATAATTGTGAGCTGAGCTGAATCTATGAACACTCCGAGGCAATATGTTGTATAGGGGTCGAGCTGACTATTGTCACATAGAAGATATAATTGAGCACCATTTAATTACATAGGTTTTATGTCTTTCACATCTCCTTGGTTCAGAAATTCCGGGAAATTGTCTACAAACAACAACCATCTAATTATTTAAACTGGATGGTGACTTTCTATTTAAATATTATAACTTCACTTTCTAATAAAGACTTTTATAATTATACCAATTAAATAGGTAGGAGAATACGCCTGTCAAGAGTTATGGTGTTCAATGAGTGGTTCGAAAGATCATTGTGATAAAATGTTAAATCATGGACTATTAGATGGTACTCCATGTGGTGAGAAAAAAGTAAGAAAATTAGTTTGTATGCAGCAAATCAATTTGATTCTGACTGATTTCAAAGATGATATTTCGTTTTTTTATTACTTAAATGATAGTGAATAAATCTTTTAAAATTGTACCTACTTCTAGCTATCTCTTCTGGTCAACTACCCAAACGTATATCATTGTTACTTCAGTACTTCTAAAATAACTGCACAAAAGATTGTAATAAAAGTATACTTTAGGTACGAACTAATCAGAATCGAGAATGTGACTTTTCCGATTTTGAGCGAAATTCAAATATCATGAATAACAAGATGTAAAAATACCTCTGTACATTGCTCAAAACGTTTAAAATAATAGTGAAATGCTATTCGGTAACATAGAGTAAAAACAATAGTGGTAAATGTTAGACCACCATTGAAAACCTGGAAGCACTGGACGGCCGTTTCGTCCTATTGTGGGACTCCTCAGCAGTGCGCATCCACAATCCTGCTCGCGGAATTCGAACGCAGGGCCTTCAATCTCGAGCATGAACGCTTAACCTACTGGATCACTGAGCCGGCATTCAATGGTGTTAATGTCTAACCTCAACCAGTCCACGAAGTTGCGCAACCATCTTCCATTGTACTGAGGTAGACATCTGTTTCTGCCCGACATGGATTAGCTCCACTGGTCACAGCTTCTCACCAGAACTTCGAATACTTAATTCGGTATCTTTAGATTTCATATAACAAGCGAATCGATACAATCCCTAAATCTAAATCCTAGATCCCCTATTCTGAAACAAACTGTAACCTAGTGGTAGTACATTTTCTGAATGAATTAATCAAGTATCCCCAGTTGTATTTGTGAGCGAAATTTATTCACCCAAATAGACATAGAACATTTTAGCATTAAAGATGACGTTACAAAATGTATATTTGTAACTAAATTATTAAGTTTCATATTTCGTCCCATCATAAAACTCATATGAATATGGTGATGGCAAAGTGTACGGCTGATCTTTACACACTGATGACTGGAAACGCTGATTCTTATTGATAAAAACTTAATGAAATGAATATAAATATTTAAAGATAGGCGATTGGTTACCCTGGATATTAAAATGTTTCCTTATGCATCTACAAATACACGTTCCGTTGGTTGTATAGGCGACACTATAATTTATGGACCAACCAATCAGATATAAGATAATACGTCTCGGATGTTGGCTCAAAATTCACTCATCCAATTGGCTAAATAGAGTTTTGGCATTATAGTTTATGTCAGTTCGTGATGAAAATCCGAAATCTAATCTTTAACCCTAACCACCAACTGTAAATGAGAATTATAACTGCTTTATAACCCTCATTTAGTTCTAATCAGTAGGTGTCTACTCTCAAGGTCACTTCAGCGTCGCTCAAAGGTCGTCCATAAATTATAGTTTCACCGCTGTATAAATTATTTGATTAGCTATAAATTGTTCATTATTTAACCTGGTAATTTGCGATTAATGAAGTATAAACCATTTTGACTGGATACTCAAAACTATACTTTTACATTTGAATTTTCTTTTATGATGCAGTGTATAGTTAGCCATATTACTTTAGTAGAAACTAACAGACTGAAACTCTCTTCAGTTATACTAGTCTTTCATCTTCTGGTTTTGCGTCTTAAAAATTGAACTGGTTCCCAATCCTAAGGTATAAGCAGTAAGGAATTAGACAAAGGCGCGATAACAATGATACAACAAAGCATTTGTTGAATTACTGAAATACTTGAAGTACTCATAGTGTAAGGAAAGTAAAATGCTTAAAGCCTTCACATCGGTATGAATTGTTTAGGAAAAGTCTTTAAATTTTATTTAGTGTATTAAGTGTGTTTATTGTTACTAGAATTGGCATAGAACTCATCATTCAAAAGCGATGGTATTTTCCCAAATGTTTTGGCTAAAGTTAACAGGCTGTGACTTTGTACCACACCCGACACTTTGTGCGGACGAATAAAGTGTATTGGATAAGTTCAAGTTGAAGAATCGTTAGAAGTTATTTTATACACTTGACTCATCTACAAAACGGACAGAAAGTGTTGAACCCGTTGCAAGATTATGGCCGGATAACTTCCATAAGTATTTGTGATCATACCTTCCAATCATGCTTTGACGTGTCTGTCTTTCATACATTGATTTACGTAAGAAAATCAATTCCACGAATTAATATTTCGATAAATGACCTTGAGCAAAACTTTTAGTAAGACAGACATGTATGTGAAACTTATTATAGTCCAAAAAATTCAATCGATAAAATCCAAGTCACTCACATGTTTTGGTTTTGACCAAGTGATTACATCAGGATGGTAACGGGGTTGATTTTTGGTCCACTCATATGATAAACTTGTTGGGAAGGCACAAGCATATAAAACTCGGTAATTTAATTTCAATTTATTTGTTACGGTGGTTTCAAATCGTATACATGGATTAAGATATTTATTGATTAGTGTTAATAGCTCCCCGCTCCAATGATACACAGATTTGACAACTAACGAAATAAGTAAATGATTGTTTGAGTCTTCACATTGATGTTTAGGACTGCAATTGATCAGTCTCTTATTGGCATCTGTGCATACTGTGCGTATTGCCTCGATATAGTCTTAATTCACAAGCATTACATGTAAAGATGGATAGTGACTAGCAGTGGAAGTATACTAAGTATTACTAACCTTCAATCATACCGAAGTTTGATTTCAATTTATTGTTTGGATCTAATGTGAAGTTTTAGATTGATTCCATGTGATAAAGCGTAAAAGCTTTGTACAAGCAATATTAGAGTAATTAGCTTTAATATCATTTTCTTCCTTTAGGAATGTTTTCATGGTGAATGCATCGACTTGAAACCTCAGAAACTAGAAACCAATCAAAGATCACATCAATATACATCCTGGTCCGCTTGTTCACGAACGAATGGGATTGGTACACGTTATCGTACACGAAAATGCTCTAATAGGTTAGTGACATTGAATAACTTCCTATCTAGACAAATTTATACTTTGAAGAATGTATAGTATGGAAGTTTTTCCCAACAAATACGTATTATCAGTAAGGGGTTGTGGAAATTATTAAGTTTTTGGTTGAGATCATGAATCTATTGATGTTAGACCACCATTGAAAACCTGGAAGCTCTGGATGGCCGTTTCATCTTATTATGGGACCTTTCAACAGTGCAAATACGTATTATATGTATGCGTTTGTTGTTTGAACCTTTACTGTGATGTTTACGACTGTAATAGATCAGTCTTTTACATATTATTGTTAATACTTTGAAAATCTTGGATTTTCTCTTTTATGCAGTTGATAATAGATAATATGATTTGACGCGCTAAATAATTAGACTCTAACGACTCGACATTCGATCAACACACTCGATAGATCACTACGCCATACTCACGAGACACACACGGTTTCACAATATCTGAAAAATGATTAAGAAACAGATTAGATGAACAACGGTTTACTAATACAAGCACAAACATTCAGCACACTGAAAACCAGATTACATAATCCCGAAAATACTCCCTTTTATTTCCACAGCCATATATGTCTATTTTCGTTCATTGACGAATCACGGGTCACTCGAAGAACTAATTATATAGGGTGAACGGCAAAGGGCATTCTAAACTGTGAATGACGGTAACATTATATCACAAACTATCTTCAGCTGAAAAAAATCAAAGCGATTGATTCTGATCCAGTGACTTTAGATGGTACCTTAATTCTCATAAAATCTAACTATCTGAATTTTGTGGTGGAAACTTGTTCTTGAAGTAACTGTCCAGTGTGTTGTTGTTCTCAGTTGATTAGTTTACAACTTTTTTCTTTCGTTATGTACTGAATAGTCTGTTTTTAAGAAGTATAATACTTGATGAACATACTCAACATCGTATTTAAATGGTAAATCAAATCTACCAAGAAGTATTAGTTTAATTACGACTATGGGCATACTGCTCAGTTTTGTGGCATGTATAGCTTAGTGATCAACACATTGTGATTTCCTATTCGTTGTGCGCTGTGGCCGTGTAATCCATGTATATAGACTTTTGACAATGCCATAATAAAAAGTATTTCAGCTGCTATCTTTGTCTTCTTGGTAGCCACTAGCGGGAGTAAGAGCTCGTACATCAATATGTGTTAAGATTTCTTAGTCACTGGTGACTGTCATGGGGTCATTGGTTCCATCATCATCAGTGAACTTGTTATAAGAAGACTCTATAGTCAAGAGTTCTGACAAGGTGGGCAATCAAGCGGTTTAGAATTTATAACAGATCAGTGACAGTTTATTCACCATTAACCTGAAACTAAATTTTTATAACTTCATGGTTTACAGTAAGCCTAACTTGCGAGGTTGTACTAAGTGCTATCAGCGAATATATTGATTTGATGAATTGATCATTTCTCTCCATACTCTCCTTATCTGGCGAAAAGTTTTGAATCTTCACATATTTGTTTAATACATTGGCTTACTGAAATTTGTTTAAATATGTCAATGTTTGTTTTCAATCTGCATGTGTAATCGTAAAAGTTTCGGGAAGTATTTTTAACTGAAGTTGTCCATAACGTTTTCAATGTTCAATAATTGTGTTATGCCTAGCATGTTTAGCTATTATTTCAGTCCATTTTGGTGGGGGAATACAGATTCTATCCAGTAATCTTCATTAGGTAAACGCTGAAAGTGCAGGATACAACACACTTATTGATCATTGAAAAAGCTATGAACAATCTTACTTGTTTAGTTCTTTTGAGAAGAAAAGAATTCACTTTAAAATGTGATTTTTGTTATGCTTAATCTATTGAACTATGGAAGAAATCAAAACAAATGTGAATTCAATGATAACGAGAGTATGATTGAATATGAACTGTGCGGTAAAAACACAGTAAGTTGTTATCTTTACTTTGATATCAATATGAATAAAAAACATAATTTTTATCACATTTTTAACCCAAAGCGAGATAATCGATTATCGATATCAAACACTTAGGACAGTAACGGATAGACAGAGAGTCAGTGAAGATAATCAGTTTAATTGAAGCAATTTTATAGAGATTGATTCAATTCGTAGATTTCATTCATCGTAGGTCGATCTCAATGAAGATATCACTGGAAATCAGGAAGTATTGGACAGATGTTTCATTCTGGCATGAAAATTCCCAACCGTTTGCATCCACTTGTTCATCAGGAGTCAAACATTAGACCTTCAGGTCTCTTAGTGAACATAATTATTTACAAACTTGAGCCTGTCAGCCCTGGTGAGGCATAAGCCACCAATCAGGATTCTTCAACCTACTCTGTCGTGCGTTGTCTTTTCCAAATGTTTCCAAGTGTTATTCGTTCTTTTGATGTCTGCATCCAATTCCTGACACAGTGTATTCTTTGGTCTGTTTCTCTTCACGGCTAATATGAATAACATTATGACAACTGTGGTTTAAATTTATTCTTACATTTGCCCCCACACTAGTGAATAGTTTTTCACACCTTACCCTTCATCCACTCCTCAAACTTATCTCATGCTCAATTGGGAGTAACAGCCGTAATTAAGAGTAAGAGCGAACCTCTCGTCCAATAATGTAAATAATTTTAAAAATAATATAATCGGTTATTATTGTTTTAAGATTGATAATAAAAACCAATAATTTGTTCAGTGATTATCTTTTTAATAAAATTATGCTCTGGTTATCACTCAATCAGTAATTTAGATCCAAGTTCGATCATAGTTACAACCAGAAATGATTTGTTTCTCAGTATGTTATGTCTTTACTTAATTGAGTGAGAAAAACTGTACACTTGAACTTATCGGGCACACATTTCCATGACACTTAAACTGATCACTATCGCTTTTTTGAATATTTATGGTAATCCACTCAAAATCTACCGTGAAAGATAAAAAAAACCAACTTAAAGTCGTTTAACTGTCACTTGACAAACGTTTTAAAATTAGGACCACTTGGTCTTCTTCCTTTAGTAAAGATCATTTCTAATGGTCATCGTCTTCTAATAATTTTTTCATTAGTATGGACTTCAGAAAAAACTTTCTATGGTCATAATTAACGTAAACGGTAACCCTATTTAAGTAAACTGATTTCTACGTTATATAGAATACACACTTACAAATTATAATTAATGGAACATTGTATAGAATATCACGTTCCAATTCTCTATTCGATTTTACTGATTACAATGGCTTGGATTAACTGTTCATTGAATTTCAAGTTATTGCATTGGCAACATTTAATTATTGTTACTTACTTACTTACGCCTGTTACTCCCAATGGAGCATAGGCCGCTGACCAGCATTCTCCAACCCACTCTGTCCTGGGCCTTCTTTTCTAGTTCCATCCAATTCTTGTTCAGTTTTCTCATGTCTATTTCCATTTCCCGGCGTAATGTGTTCTTTGGTCTTCCTCTTCTCCTTCTTTGACCTTGAGAATTCCATGTGAGGACTTGTCTTGTGACGCAGTTCGGTGCTTTCCTCAATGTGTGTCCTATCCACTTCCAGCGCTTCTTCCTGATTTCTTCCTCCGCTGGGATCTGGTTTGTTCTCTCCCACAGTACGTTGTTGCTAATAGTGTCCGGCCAATGGATCTGAAGTATTTTGCGTAGACAATTGTTGATAAAACACCTGTATTTTCTGGATGATGGCTTTTAATTATTGTTGCTATGTATATAATTACTTTTTTTAGAACGAAGATCATTTAAAATCTATAGATTATCGAGAAGAACAATGTTCACGATTTGATCAATTTAAATTAAGAGGAATATATCATAAGTGGTTACCTTATATTTATTCTCAAAGTAAGTCATTTCAATTGCTGAAAAATTCCCATTATATTAAAAACACAATTGTATGAACGAAGAATATTCTTTTCAATAATTTCTCATCAGGTTCTACAATTATAAATTCAGATTAATAATCCATAAAATTGGTCAGATTTAAGGCAAAATACATCATCATTTGGAAATTGTATTATGTGAATCAGGAATTGTTGTTTGTTATATAAATAAAATCGTTAATGTTGGGGCTGACTAATATGAAGTGTTAATTTGAATCAGTTTATAAGCGAAATGAAATTGTGAGATAAATTATCAGAATGAACATGGTCAACATGGGGTAAGAGAGAGAGAGCGAGAGAATATTGTGATTACAAATCGGAAATTGCGTAATATGTAAAATAATCAGGTCAAATATAGTAGATTCAGGGGTGGATATTGAATAAATTCCTCAAGAAGGGGTTATCAAGTGTAAAGACAATAATAATAATAATAATAATAATAATAATAATAATAATAATAATAATAATAATAATAATAAAGTTTGGGACATAAAATGAACATTAATCAGATTACGTCACCACATTATAAGATTGACTATTAGCTAGTTGGCCAGGGTAAAAGGAGTGGCTGAACATACTTCATTTTGGATACAAAGCTCTGGCTTTTTGATCCGAATAGCAATTGCTTCAGCCGTCTGTAGGATTCGCAGTCTGACGGAATTAGGTAGACTGCTGTTGACACGATAGACTATTGCAAAAGATTGCTCCATGTTGGCTGTATGTCCTGTTTGGACTAAATGGTCTAAGATAGAGCTGTTAACAGTTTTGACAACACCTTTGCTTAACCACACGGGTAGGTGCTCACGAGCCCGAATGTACAAATTCCTAGAACACCTGTCAATATAACTTGCTCCACAGGAGCAGTTGAATTGATAGATACAGAAGGAGGTGGCTAGTCTAGGTAATTTATCTTTCAACCTCGGAGTGATTATTGGTCGTGTGGAGAATACTAGTTGTAGTTTAGCTGCGTTAAAAGTCCTTTGAATTGATCTACTTAACTTAAGTCTTAACATTTCACTCGGTGCGTCGCCTCTGAATTGTAAGCGTATATATAGAGGCTTTTTATTTACCGTTGGGCATTTCTACAATAATGTTGTATGAAATAATATGACATTCTACATGTTGTTTGAAATTTCACTTCACTGAATAATTGAAGTTAGACAATTAAAGAACACTTGACAAATGTATTCTCTCAGTTTAGAACTCTTCAGAAGAGCACATCAAAGACCTCACTAGGAATCGAATAAACTACTTCAGTATGACCTTTAAAGATGGGTCAGTTTTCAATGTTGACTCTTTAAATACCAAAAAAGATTAATTATTTAAAAGCATACATTATAATGAGTTAATACACAAGATTCAAATTTACACCTGACATTCTTTTCCGGTACTCCGTGATGTCAAACAAGATCCTATAATGTTCTCCCATCTACACTTTCAAACGCTTTCTCATAGTCAAGGAAGTTGATGAATAGTGTAGAATTTCATTCAATTGATTGTTCAATCATAGTTCATAGTGTTGTTGTTTGGTTGGTACACAACTTATTCTTACCGGATCTTCCAATCGGTTCAACAACACTCGGTTAAAAGCCTTTCTTGGTACTCATAGTAGTGTGATGCCTCTACAGCTGAGTTCTCACACTTCCTCTGATCTTCTCCGAGTCCGTCAGGACTTGTTCCTCTTCTCAAGTTCTTCTGAACAGAACGTGCAGGATCTTTCCATTTACTGTTATGTCTGACTTCGGTGCTTCAGTTGGTGTGTTGTCAGGTCCTGGTGTTTTCCCACTCTTCATTTGTCTGATGGTCATTCTGATTTCTTCGACTATTGTTGGAGTGATAGCTATAGGAAGTTCTGAGTGTGCTGCTTTGATGTCCAGTAGGTTTAATGTAGCTGGTCTATTCAATAGTTCTTAAAAGTGCTCTACACACATTCCTATGTTCTTGAATCTCAGTATTTGGTTATCCTTCCTTGTTCTTGACTGGTCGCTCCAGTTTACTATATTTTTCTGCTCATTTGTTCGTTGTATCACATAACTGTTTCACATTTCTTCCTGTTGCAGCTTTTCCCACTGTCCTTTCTAGGTTTTCCACATATTATCCGCTCGTCCGTTCTAATTCGCCTGTTTGTATGCATTCAGTTAGTAAATATTAGTATGGGATATAATCGAATATGATTTGATCGTGTAACAACTGATGATGAATCGTTTCTATTGAATTTCAGTATCTAGGCACACACACACATACACACATGTGTACACACGGGCATGTATAAGCTACTCTAATTACAACACAGATAAATGAACAATGAATATTCTTTCCAATAAATTCTCTTCAGGTTCTACAATTATATATCCAAATTACTATTCCGAAAAGTGACCAGTTTTAAGACAAAGTATATCATTTAAAGTTATAGCCTGTAAATTTACCCATATAATTGTAGAATCTGAAGAGAATTTATTGAAAAGAATATTCTATGTTTATATTCTAATTAAATTTAACACGATTAATTCACTATAGGTAAACTAGTGCATTGGAAGGTGATTGACTTATCAATTTTTTGAACTCACCACTAAACCAGTAATAATTCATCGTAATTTTTATTTTGTATTCAAAAACATAGATCGTTTTGTTTGTTTGTTGTTATTTCTTTGTATTCTCTTTTCACATTTCCAAGGACCATGTAGTTTAAGTTGTTATTCATTACAAAATGGTCAAATTCTTGATGCATCAATATCAGTTAGAGATTCAACACCATGTACATATGATAATCCTGATGCACGTTGTATACAATCAGTTTGTATTGTAAGTGATGATAATTCGTTACTATCTTTCAAATTTAGAATATATTGTAAACTTATTACATTGATAAATGAAATTTGAAAGCAGTTTTTGTTGTGACTTTAAAAGCCGGCTCGTTATCATGTGATTTATTCGCTAATTGAAATATGACTTATTCAATCTTAGTACTGAGCTAAACCAATAACGTTCGACCGGTACGAGCAGCCTAGCGTTCTTTATTGGTCCTTTGCTCGCCTAGCCCGTCTAGTTGAGTCCAGAACACCAACACCAGCCTCCACTATGCGAATCATTTATTGTTTCGAACATACTTGGTTTATACACCAGACATCACACCAAAAAATAGGAAATAACATTTATACAAAATCATGCCAAAAAGTGTCTGTGAACGTGGAAGACGATAATCAATAAACTGAATATAACAACTTTAGAACCGTAAATCGTACAACAATAATCTATAGATCAAAATTAAGCTTATAATAAGATGAATATAGATATACAAAACCTAATTAATGAATAATTATACCATAAGAATATATAGATAGTCAGTCAGTCAGACAGTAACAACGTAGAACTTCGTACTTACGTACATCAGTTCGAGTTGCCACACCACATTAGCACAGAGATGCAGTGGTCGATTCAAATCTCGTAATGCTAGATGTAGTAAAATTATAATCTGTAATCAGGAAAATTAGGGTTTGAAGGTGTTATTCAATGAGTATAATCCAGTGAAATAAATTTGGAAAGAGAAAAGTGAAAGGGAAATGGAGAATTCAGAAGATTAGAATTTGGGAGAACACAAAGAGTGGATGCACCTGCGCCATTGCAAACGATTTTGAGCCATGTCATTCAGGTTCTCTAACCATCGGTTGCTATCATCTCGCGGTCCCCAACCAGGTAGTCTACACCTACCAACATGACTCAGTCTACTTGTCAGTGACTTCATGGACTTGTGCCACGTTTTGGTCTGGCCGCCCCTAGCTTTCTTCCAATCTATTTCTATACCAGTGAACATCGCACGTCGAGGAAGTCGGTCGTTGGCATATGTAACACGTGTCCCAACCATCTCAACTGATGAAGTTTCACTACTTCAACAATTGATTTACCCGTTTCCTAACAACTGCATTACTTACTCGATGGTCCCAGGATATACGAGCAATATTTCGAAGGTGCCTATGATCTAATACTAGTAACCTATGGATATCTTCTACTCTTACCGGTCATGTTTCACTGCCATAAAGTAGGACGGAACGAACTGCCGCGCAGTAAACACGTCCTTTGGTTGATAGACGGATATATCGCCTACGCCATAAATGATGCAAGTTGGTAAAAGCTAGTCGAACCTTCTGTATGTGTGCTGAGATTTCGTCACACATGATGAGACTTCCAAGATAATTGAAGCGATCGACACGCTCAATTACTTCACTCCCTATCATTAGTTCGGGTGTCAATGCAACCCAATCCTGAAGCAACATTTTGCATTTCGAGGGAGAGAATCGCATCCCGAACATGCTTGCATTGTCGCTTAGAGTGGTCAGAAGACTCTGCATTTTGTCAGCGTCTTCACCAAATAAAACTATGTCATCAGCATATTCTAGGTCAACAAGTGGACCTCCTGGTAGAAGTTCAACCCTGGAAATCTAGACGAGGAAAATGTTATCTCTAAAAGTACGTCGACGACAAAGTTGAACAAGAATTGAGAGAGTGGACAGCCCTGACGAACACCACTTGAGATAATCAGTTCTGATAATGTTAGTTCGTTAATAGTTCTCGGAAGTTACTCGTAATTTAGTCTTCACTAGAATATGACAGTTTTGTCTGTTGTAAATTTCTAACATGAATGATATAAGAACTTATTTATGTGACTCTAGAACATTTTATCTTTGACATTATGATAAAGTTGTAATTTCTCGTTATTGATATTAATGACTAAACTCAGGATACTTGGGCCAATACGCACCATTGGTTTGGATTTAGTGTTTTCCAGCTCCCCAAGGTGGATCCTGCATATCCACCAGCCCCGTTAAAGAGCCGGATATTCGCTTTTCGTCCTCTCGATATAGTAAACAACGGTAATGCCGTGAGAAGACAGTGAGTAGGACTTTTCTGGTAGTGGCTGTATACGCGTGACCGTGTGAGAGCATTTCGAGAGAGAGTGTATATGCACTCTCCTCACCCTCGGCCTTATCAAGGCATTTGGGGACGACAACATCGTCAGAATGAACTTCAGAAAAAAGTTGGATATTTGAATTTCTCTACATATGACTAATGGATTGCTCCCTTAACCTTGTTCTTGATTGGTTATTTTTTACTTTTAATATGTTATTGTCTGCAACCTTTTTTGATTTGGTCTGATTCTTGGTCCCATATTTGTTCATGATTTTTCTGATTGGGTAATAAATTGGATCGATTTCAATTTGTTCACTCTTTGTTACTTGGACTGAGTACCGAGATTCAAAAAATTCTCTGGTATTCTTAATATTCGCTGTGTCCAATATTCAACACTTTTTCAGTCAAATATATATCCACAATTGTCCGCATGGATTAATATAAGCAAAAATACACAGCGACATTTGACACTTAAGTGAGCGATTATGAAAATGAAGATGAAGAAAGTATCTACTTTGTCTGATATAATGCCTATAGCAATTGTATTAAAAACAACTAATCAAATTCTTGATCAACGGAACGAGCTATTAGACTCTTGTGGAAAAATTCTTAAGGATCACTTTTGTCTGGAGGTTGTGCTAAAGACATTGTTCAGATGGACGATGAAAGTTTTATTATTAAACCGCTAATTCTAAAGAGCGGAACTTCATCAAAACCTTCAAGATTAATTTAATGTACTTTTAATTGATGTATAGATAACTTCAAATAATATTTCCAATTATATATATGGGCTAATATTATCTCCAACGTTTTTATTGTCCAATAATTATATTACACCCATCTGTCTCTGTCATTTTTACCTTTATTCAATTAGGAAACGTTAAATATTGGAGTGTAATTTTTACCAAAGATTTCATTTGAAGTATCTTTAGTTGTCCACGATATTCATTTATAAATATTTCAGTATATTGTAGCACAGTCTAAAATGTATAATAGAAAATACAAATAATAATATAGTCTAAAGTTTGAAATGGAATTCATGATGAAGATATGTTACAATGTGTACTAGGCACTCATTAAATGAACGGAACAGTGACCTTCAGGATCAGATGAAGTACATTTATTGATCATTGAAAATAGTAAAAATAACCGAAATCCTACTTTCTTTTCTGTAATAACAAGGTCTTCCATCAACTTCTTTAGCAATACAAGATCGAAGATCCTGGGTTTGATCCCCGATAGCCTGGTCGTGAATATGCATTATCGACAATTCTCCTACTAGGGTGTAATAGCCGTCCAGTGGTTCTCGGTTTTCGATGATCGTCTAGCTAAGATCGATTCATGATTTAAACCATGAAATGTAGTGTTTCTTAACTGAACAGTTATTTAAATTTCAGGGTAACTTTGTGGGTTTGTTAATATTTTTCGTATAGAATTTCGATTGTCTTGGTCAGGTGAATGGCACAGCTAGAAGAGATCAATGTGGAGTTTGTCAGGGGAATAATTCAACTTGTAGTTTTATACAACATAGAATTCAACGAGTTCGTAAGTATTTTTTTATGTGTTTCGGACGATTAATATTCTTCTAATACAAAGAGGAACTAATGTGAACTCTATAAATCAAGTGATAGATACATGACGTTTTAACAGTTATCCCAATGTTATGGAATTCAGGGAAAATATAGGAGTTTAGAAAACTCTTTGTATTTAAAAAGGTTAGAGAAATCCGAACTAAGAAGGTGCAGCTCCATGGGTATGGTTACTAATATACATTGACCTTGAGATACAACAAAATTAACAGACTAAAAGTGATAACAACCAATCAGATAAGAGCGAAATTACCATGGAAGTATAAATTTAAAAAGTGTTATCTTGGCACACTTTACTAGTTAGAACTATTATTTATTAATATGAAAACTAGATAATCTGAGCTCTCCTTATCAGAAACATTGTGTACATTGTTTTTTTAATATGATCATCATTTTCAATGAAAACAGGGGAACTGAAATTGATTGATTTCAGTACATATATTGAACATTGAAAACTCACACAGCACGTATTGGAAACTTCCGATAATGATGGAATTTTAGTGAAAATATTTGATCAGATGCATCATCTTACCAATCCGTTAAATTTAAAACTTTTTCTTTTATTTGGGTGACACTTTTAACGTTGCATCGTGAGAAAAATTCAAAGGGTGATAAATTAAATGTCTTGTCACTGTTAACGTTTCCCACCAATTTCAACTAATATCCCAGTATTGTGACATCGGTTTATCTAATGTTCATTTTATTCACGTTTAACTGATAAAAGCTTATCTCGAAGGTGTACAAGCAGTGGTAATGAAATTCCCGTGATGTATATCAGGTACATAAGATATGTAGTGTCAGTTATTATTTTAAGCCCATAATATATCCTATTCTAGTTTTCGGACAAACCAATCTATTCATTCTACTTGAGTCATACTTTGACCTTGTTGATTATTCGCTTATCAGTCTTGACTGTTTTTATATGAGCGTATATGTATGTACACTTCATATCCATGCCTCATCACGTGTCTGTAGTTTATTTTGTCTACCTATAAATATTGCGTAACGCCTGGCTAGAAATGGAGTTGGCTTACCAGCCATCTCCACTGCGCGTAATTTGGCTTTGTTCTATCGCATTCACTTTACATACAAAATACATGTATTCAAGGGCCATTCTCGTTAATTGACTTATCTAAATTCCGTTATTGACTAACGTGATTTAAGTCGATAATTGTATACGAGGATAGGTGATAACGGACATTCGTGCGATCTAAATGGAGTCAGATTCACGAGCCACTAAATATATCTATACTTTGGATCTATCTTACACTTTTGATGCTGCTGAAAGTAAACATATTTTCTTGTTCAGTTATCTAAGGCTCGTGGGATTGAAGCGTAGGACAGGAGAGCAATTGTTTAAATTTATTCCGAGTATTGATTAGCTCGCCTAGACAACATATCTAGCACCAATTTCGGCAAACCAATGACATGACAAATATGAGATAACAGCCAGGAGTAACACTACATCACCATCGGTCCAGAATACAATTTCTGACATTTACTTGTCTGATAGCTAGAATAGAGGACAACTTAGAAAGCAGACAACTTCTAATTATGCAGTTCAAATTTATGGACTATTCATAAAACAATATAGAGCGAAATCCTGATCATAACTGCGACATAAGTGGAAGAAAACTGATTGATAGGTCTGTAATTAATCAACAATAATTTTGAAAGTGTAGAACACATCAATGATTTCTGTGTTTAAAAAGAACCTACAAGTAGGAGACACAATATTTAATAATTATACGGCAAAAATATAAATGATAAATTCAGATAGGGCTTTTCAGAATGTTCAACGTTGCCGAATATTTATCTCCACAGTAAGATGTACATAAAATGTATTGAGAAATATTGACTACTCTATTTTTCTGTTGGAGGGCATGTAGTTAGTCTGTTTGATAGTAAAAAACGTTTCCCGGATGATGAGAAGTCTTGAACGTCTTTGAGACCATGTACAATCCCGACTGATAACAAGACTGGCAGATAGCAAATGATTGAGGTAATTAATTAGTTAACAATGATTTAGAAAAAAATAAGCTGTATAGCAACAGATTGTATCAAAGAGGAAGTTAACCATACGAGGAACATATTTTCTTTAGAAAATACAGTAGACCAATTACTTAATAGTCATACAATTCAAAATACAATTTGTTATTCTATGTAGGTAGTCCTACAAGTTCAGTTTCCGTCATCTCCAATATATATATATATATAAACTCGTATTTAATAATTTCATTACCCTAACCGTTTCGATTAGACAGACTTTTAAGCGTAAATTAATTGACTTTTAAATCAGTAATTTTGGATGCTAGATTTTCTTCGAGATCTAAATCTGCTAACTAGAATGTTTCTTAACTTCGATAACTGGTTATTATCTGCAGTTACTAGTCAATAACACGTATGATAGATCTTGTTCATCACTCTAGATGACTTAAGTTATTATTCTGAAAGCTTTTAGTCACATCACAAAATAGTTGGTAACCGGATAATGTTGAGATGTTCTATAATACATTGCGAAAACTATTATTATTAAGCGAAGTAATTCAGACTGATACTGATACTAAAACTATAATCAGGAAGTTCTTTATTGAGACAACGTGGCCTTTTCATTTGTAAACTTTTGAACCGCCCACTTCATCAGCTATCTCCTTTGTAAGCATTTTCACTATTCATTCATTAAATAGGGGAAGTTCTAATTAGTTTCTTTTTGTAATCCATGTTAGTTCCAATGAATGAAGAATATCGTATGTTATACGTGATTCCACGATATGCAAGACATTTAAAAATTTCAAAGAATTATGGTAATCATGTATTAGGTAAGTTGTGAATTTCCTTCATTCATTCATGGATTCATTCATTTTGTAATTAGTAAAATTAATTTTTCGAATAGCGAATGTGTTGTATTTTATGGTTCGATTCAGTTACGATAAACACTTCCTACGGTAAATCCAACCCAATATGTAGTAGAGTAAACTGAAATGAATAGGAAATTTCAATGATCCTAGTAAATAACACTGTATTCAAATCATAGGCATACATACTATTTTTATTTCTAACTCAGTCAAGGACATGTTGGATGAGATGTTGAGAACGCGCTTAATAAACTTCAACAAATAGTATAACTCGTTTATAAAATCTTATCTATCATTTGATCTTGAAACAAAATGGCACAGGCACGCGATTTGCCTATACTCATCTTAGGTCATCAGAATGAATTGCTTATTAAAGGCTACCGAAGACAATGGAATCTTCAGATTATTAGACTTGAACTGATGAAATAAAAAAATTCAATAGTATATTCTGCCGGACAATCCATCAAATGTATGATATGAGTACAAGATACATTAACCAAAATACGGTCAAGTGAAAAGAGTGACTAGATTGATAAATCACTACATTCAACAAAGAAAGTAGTTAATCAACAAATTTCATTGATGTCTAAGCAAATAGTTGGAAGTAGTCTCCACGGATTATGAACCGTTATAACTCAATAATCACTAGAGAACAAACTAACAGGACATTGGTCAACACTCAGTCAAACAGGAACTCAGTTGTGACTCGACAACCTCAGTGGTAATATCAAAAGCTGTGAAACTGACTGAATTGGATTAGAAATCCACAGTATATATCGGTCCCCTTCAGAGTACAAGTACACCTAATTGATCACTACCAATTAGCATGAAACAGTTTTGGCGTTTCTTGTCCGTACTTCCAGTTACACAAAACTCAGTATTTCCCCATGAACCGTATAATCCGATCAGTGCGAAAAACAAACATGATGTCAGTCACTACCTAGTAATCAATCATTTGTAAAAGAGGAAGAAACACTATAGTACATCAACTATGGGGCTGATCCTAAAATGACCATGCTTTAATTTGAGACCGCTCATTTCCATACCATCTTCATTACATACAAGTTAATACACTGAAGACCGAACCTCATGAATATCAAGTCCCTAATTAATTATTCTACTGAACATTGTAAATGTTTATTTTGTCATTCTTTAGGCCTATTCGACATGCAACATTTCCAATTCTTTCTAAAAGGTGATGAATTAGAACTGGGTACGAAATTAAGACGTGTTTATTTTGCAACAGAGTTTGTATTTGATACAGGGAATCCAATGAGTAATTCAGCCGACAGTTTTGTTCAAATTCACACAAAAGGAACAATTTATGGGGATGTTGCTATTCAAGTATGTTGATTATCAATTATAACCATCATTTTTACAACGTATGTTATTAAAACGATTTTACTTAATTGCTTGCAAATGATAAAGTATCTTAGTAATCATCTATTTGTAAAAATCATAGTACACCACCGACCTTAAGGAAATTTAATTACAGACATCAAATGATGTCATCAAATCTCTTATTAAAACCCAATTACTCTTATTGCTTAGTATTCCTGGGCACTACTTCACTCGACAAGTCCACAAATCAGAACACAGATCAACAGGAACGTAATCACATCCAAAATAAACAAGGTTGAATGGAAGTAGGAATTAAAATAAGAAGAATGGTACTTAATTTATAGATACATATCCACTTTACCGTTATAAGTATTATCAGAAAGGGGTTTTGTGGAGATTGTAGTAATTTAGTAGTTGGATTCATGAGTCACTTAAAGCTAGACCACCGTGGAAAACCTGAAAGCACTGGACGACTGTTTCGTCCTATTGTGCGATCCCTTAGCAGTGCGCATCCGACAATAAAAGCATCTTACATGGTATTGATTAATTCAACGGTGATAATGTACTTTTATCAGTTCGTTGTTTGTTTGTTCAAATTAGTACTGAAGACTATTTTTGTCATTCAGCTTATTTTCATGCCATCATTCAATAAACAATTTTAATTTTAAATAGTCTATTCCCGAATACCTTATTATTTTCTTGTTTGCTTCTTTTTTTAGGCCAGAAATCTAAATATTAATGAAGATCTCGATCCCTTAGATGTGGAAATAAGCTATGTCCTACCATTAAGTAATGATCTCTAACTCCTGGAAATTATTAACAAAGCTGAAAATATACTTAAATATTATTTCAGAAGTAGAAAAATATAACAAAATATCTTTTGGTCATTTGTAGACCAACGTTTGATACATTACAATTATTATTGCGATATGTACAACGTGGTTAATCTAGTCTTTTAAAGTACACATTATTCAAATAAACTTTTCCATACTGGTATCAGAAGGGGTTTTGTGGAGATTGTAGTAGTTACAATAGTTGAGATCATGAGTCGATTGAAGCTAGACAACCATGGACAACCTGGAAGCACTGGACGGCCGCTTTTTCCTACCATGGGACTCCTCAGCAGTGCACACCCACGACCCCGCCTCGCGAGATCCGAACCCAGGACCTGTCAGTCTATCGCGCGAGCGCTTAACCACTAAGCCGGCATCCAACGGTGTTAATGTTTAACTCCAACTAATCCACGGAATTGAACGACACATCCACCACTGTCATCAGTGAGTTACTATCTCACGACTGACCCGGTTGCTTAGATAACCTCTGGGAATCTTAAGTACAATCGTAAATTCCTTCGCATACTATGGTGGACCTTAAAAATCTATGGGACATGTTCATTGCTTCAATAAGCGTTATCATAGAATAGATTTCAATACACATTTCCAACAATCACTAAATTTTCTAGAATGAATGAGTATTTAACGACTTTCTATATTTATTTATCGATTTTCCTTATAGCTCATACTAACCACACCTCATAACATAAAATCAGTTAAGTATACAGGGGGTAAGGATGTTTTAGAATCAGTATATTCGAATCTGCATACATAAGTAGAATAAATTGTAAGTGTTATAACTTGTGGCTTTGTGCCCCAATCAATGCACAACGTATTGATCTCACCAATTGGAGAACAGGGAATTATCGACCGAACCAATGACGCATAAAACAAGTACGAGCAGCCTGGAGTCCTTATCGGTCCTGCTTCCCTGCTAGCTCTGCCTGTTAATTCCAGAACACCAATCTCAGCCTCTCGATATGAATCACGTATTTCAGACATACTGGGTTTATATACACACCAAACGGACCACTTCGTACCATGAAATAGAAAGTAATATTTGTACAAGATCTAGCCAAAAAGTGGCTGTGAATGTGGGAGGTAGTAATTGATAGACTGGGCATAACTCAAGAATGGTAAATCGTATAACAATAGTACATAGGTTAAAGTACAGCTTATAATAAGAGAAACACGAATATGAATAGTTTAGATTTTTAACAATTGTACGATAAAAATATACGTATAGTATTAGTCCAGAAAGAGATCCCAACAGTCACCATTTATTATTCTCATCGGGATATAACAGTACGCTTTGGTATGTAGACACCGTTAGGTGTGATCGATAAACGAACCCACCAATGACAACATTAGACACCCCCCACCACACTAACTGTCTTTGACCTTGCATGACAATGCCTTGTTTATTAATCAATCATAAGTTTTGTTTGTCATAAACGATACTAGGTTTGTTAACTCATTATTCTTACCTCTAGTGGATGTTCAGTATGTTAATTATGCCTCTTCATCCCTGTTTATTAAACTGAAATAATTATTTTCTGTACACTAACAGTGTTAATTTACATTTTAGAAACAGATAAAGTTTATCAAGCCAAATAGCGTACTTATTCTAACTTTGGTTAAGTAAGACTCTGTGCTCAACAGTCTGGGAGTAGTTTAGAATTTCGTCTTAGGAAATTACGTCCTAGAAAATTTCAAACGGTAAAATCGATATACCTAATGAAATGACTTTCAATAAGTACTATGATTCTGATGGGATTCTGTAGTTGTCACCTCATCATCTGGGAGATTATGACGAGGACCAACTTGGAAGATATGAACTCAGAACCAAATGCCTGATGGGATTAGTGTTAGCCAAGTTACGTCTCTAGAGAACCGGACGTCCCGATCAATCAGTAAACGACAGTGAGAATGCAATACTAGAAATTTTGTACTTACCGAAGAGAGAAGATGCGATGGTACACTAATAACTTACTGGGATTTTATTAGAAACTTCGAAACATATATTGGATTTATAGCTAAGTCGAATTACTTAATCTAGTATTGTGACGGAGGATCGAGAGCCGCTATCCTTCATTGTACTATGCTGGAACCGGAGGTAGGTTATCGCCAAGTTTTAAAGTCTTTGGAGGAATCGTTTGATCAAAGACACGTAGCGCGCACATTTATTGACAGCTACTGAAATTACCAACTCATGTTCAACAAGAGTGGCTATAGGAGCTCATGAGACTATTAAGAGAGGTTGAGAGCCTTTGTTTGGCTATCTTACTGAGTTTGCTAAGGAACAGGTTGATATGACTAATACCAGATCTGGCCTACATGTTAACCGTGGTAGTAATGGTGACCATAGAGATGTTGGTATCGTAAAGGGAAAATCTAGTGCAGACTACAACACAGTAAGGATATCCCATACAAGTACTGGTGATAACAATGTTCCCTTACATAACGGCTATGGTTATCGTAGTTTATCTTGTTTGAAGTGCTCAGAGAATCATTCTTTAGATCAGTGCCAGAAGTTTGAAGATAAGGATGTTAGTGAAAAGAAAGGATTTGTTCTTAAGCAGAAGTTGTGTAAAGTTTGTTTGAAGGCGAACCATGTAGCGGAAAATTGTCAGTCACCAAGACCATACTTGGTTGAAGGGTGCGGTTGGCGGTACCATACTCTGCTTCATATGAAGTGAGGGGCGGACGAACGCTTCAGGACGTTCATGTCATCGCTTATCAGTGTAGAGAAACAGAAGACGGAGCTGAAAAGCATAAAAATTACGCTCGGGAAGGAGTCGCGTTAGCTATAATTCTCATACTATTAAATCGTGGCAAGGAGGTCATTCGGACCCGCGCCTTTTTAGATAGTGGATCAGACACTTCTCTCATTGTAGATGATCTGGCCAATGAGCTAGGCCTCGATGGAAAGCCTGAAATAGTGTACTTGAAGACTCGTGATAATAAATCGTCGTCGGTACGCAATGAGGTCGATATAGAATTGCATTCGTTAGATTTTTCGTCGTCTGTTTAGATCCAAAAAGTGTTGACAGCTGAAAGACTACTGTCAGTATACAGAACTGTACCAACGGCATATCAGATAGCGTCTTGGTCCAACTTAAAGGACACAAATTTTCCAGGAGTAGAAAATGAGAATGTCAAGCTGTTAATTGGGTGTAACGCACCAGGCGTACACGAAACGAAAAAGATAGGGATTGGAAAGGCGAATGAGCCGTTCATTACATAAGCCTACTCAGGGGGCATTATCCTTGTGTGATCGTGAAAAGGAGTCATTAAATCGATTAACAGCTCCGTTCTTTCTCACTTGGTTGATAGTGAACATCAAGTTAAAATAGATGAAGGTTTCTCTGTTTTCTATCAAGTTCCAGACGATCTACCTAAAGGAACTAGATTACAGCTCCTCTATATACCTGAAGCCATCTCGATCAATTCCAGAAAATTGGACTTATGTATCCAGAAGAGATATATCCAACCTCTATGTTTACTTTGGTCCACGACTGGAGCACCAGATACCTAAACTGTGTATAACAGACTTATTTTTATTACCTCGTATTATTACATATTATATACACACAACGCTATTGTAATTACAATTGTTACCTTGATTAAGAAGGCGAAATTCTCCTACTATGCATTTTATTCACATGGCATATTATGTTACTATCATAGTGATGATAATTTGATACTTTACTACGAATCATTCTGACCTTTGTTAAATAACTTTTCTAATTTACAAGTAACACTTTTTCGAAGTGTTTATGACGTAACAGATGCAAACGTTCACCATTTTCAACACAACATTGTCAAATTCATCATGAGGCGTTATAACTCTTCTAAATGAAGATCTTCTAACTCCCAGGGCAGAGTTTAGATAGTTTGAATTATTTTTCTGGTTAGCGTTTTTTAGCGGGTTAGTTTTCTACGGGATGGGGTGGCTAACTCCATGCCGGACCCTCCTCATTTATCGCTTGAGACCGGCAGTGGCCCCAGAGGGGCTCCAGACCGTTAAACTTCATGGTTAACGTCGCGTGCTGATCTTATATTCAACAGACTGAGCAAATAGTACCATTAGTATTGTATTGTACTGCTCATAGATTAGATTTAGTCAGCCTATTAATTTTGAAAACTCTAAAAGTCATTTGAAATTTATTTATGAAAACAAAAGAGAATAGGAGTTGGACAATAATAATAATAATAATGATTTTTGGTGATACGTAAAAAAGAAACAATGAGAATATATTTTAAGAAGTTTTCGAGAAACCGACGACTTGTGCTGTTATTGACTTTATATATTACTGATTATATCTGTTAGTATTGTTAGTAATAGTGGTGGTGTATTTATGATTCCTCGTGTAATTTTGTGCACATTTTACGAACTAGCATGATCTTCAGTTTCTTCTACAAGGATATCATCAGTTTGTTGTTTCCAAAATGCTCGATGTATAAAAACTTGTCTAGGTAGCTGAGGAAAATCAAAATATGGGGATGGGAAGGAAATGCGAAAAAAACATGTCAGTAGGTTATTAAAGTCATTGACTATTTTATAACTTACGCTTCAGAGTACTTTTGATGAGAAAATGTAGGTAGTATTACTAGACGTCACTCAAAACATGTATAGCTCCAAGATAAGTAAGTGAATACATATGTACTTAGTTGGTAAGTATACTGACACAGACACGTAAAATATTCCTCTTTTTAATAGTCTAAAATTGGTAATCACCTCTGAACATTGATCTAAATAGTTTCATTATGTACTAACCATCTGCATAGATAAGTAACAACGTTTATAAAGAGTTAGCTTGAAGGAGTTTTGTGTAGTTTGATTCTTAAATTGTATCGGTTACCGATTGACCTCAGTTGGGCTACTATTGAAACTCAAGGAGCAATAAGTGCCTGTTTTGGCCTACTACGAGAATCTTGAGCAGCGTATATCAATGAGTCCTTCAGAAAAGTTGAAAATAGGATCCTCAAATTTCTCGGCAAACACTTAGCTTTTAGAAATAATGGTTCAGCATCCAAAAGTGTAATTCTCAATTCAACCAATTCGTGGTAAATGTTTGAACTATATCAGTCACGACTTCTACTAGATCTTCAGAAACACAGTTAGTAAGCTGGTTATTACAATCTTGTTGAAGGAACCTAAA